GGCCTTGATGGGCGTTTTGATAAAGTTTCTTCAGGTTGGTCTCACGACGACGCAATCCCTATACTAATGTGTTGTACCGAATGTACCGACCGAAAGGGAACCTTCCAGCTGTGTTTTCCTGTGCCTTTGTTGCTGCAGAGGTCTGTGTGACAGTGGGAGCAGAGGACTCTGTGAGTGGGCGGCTGGCCGGCCTCACACGCTCCTCCAGCAGGTTGGCGCCAGAGATGGGGACTTGAGTTAGAGACTCGGACTCGAGTGCGACTTAAGTCGCACACAGTGACTTCAGACTCGACTTGAGACTCGTCCTCAAAAGACTTAAGACTTGACTCGGACTCGAGGTGCGGGACTCGTGAACAATGTTTATTTTTAGGAAACGTCTGATGAGCTTGCCGTTATTCCCCTCCCTCCCTTACCTATAACCTGCCTACGTAACATGTAGCATCTGCTGCGCGCGGCCGCACGTGAGAGAGGACAACAAACACTGGCAGCTGCTAAGCCATTTATCATAAACTTTGGCTTTAAAACTTCATAAAACAAGACCCAAACAAAGACGCGCTGAACGCAAATAGGTTAGTAACCTGTGGTAAGTAAACCTGTTTAGCTCAGCATTGGCCATCTAATGTTAGCTTGCTTCTTTCTTCAGCTACGACCTACGAGAGGTTTACTCCGACTGTCATTCGTTATGAAAAGATGAACGAGCGTTTGTTTACTTGCCAAACTTGTGGTGGTCGATTAACGTAATCATTGCGTCCCGCTGGCTGCCATCACGTTAATTATTACTGTTGGCTAGAAAGAGGTTACAGGTTTATTGTTGATCATGTAACCTTACAGTTTTATTTAGTTATAACGTTGCTGGTTTGAGAGTCTGGTGGATTGTTGACTTACAGTGGTTTATAAGCTGTCATTAACTGCATTGCACAGGTTGTGCTCTGTAAGTTAAAAACAGGTTACAGCTTTATTGTTGACCATGTACCTTTACAGTTTTATTTAGTTATAACTTACACTGGGTTTGAGAGTCTGGGGAGTGTGTTGACTTACAGTAGTTTATAAGCTGTCAATAATTGTAGACGCATTGTACATTAGGCTACATGGTTGTGCTCTGTAAGTTAAAAACAGGTTACAGGTTTATTGTTGATTATGCAATGTCACAATTTTATTTAGTTAACGTTACACTGGGTTTAAGAGTCTGGGGAGTGTGTTGACTTACAGTATTTAATAAGCTGTCAATAATTGCATTGCACATTACATGGTTGTGCTCTGTAAATGAAAAACAGGTTACAGTTACAGAATTCCTTATAGCCATGCAGTTTTATTAGCAACCTGGACTGAACGCAGCAGGTGATACAACATTCATTATAACCACGAGAGACTTGAGACTTGACTTGGACTCTAGCTCAAAGACTTGAGACTTGGACTCTTGTTCAGAGACTTGAGACTTGACTTTGACTCTAGCTCAAAGACTTAAGACTTGACTTGGACTGTAGCTCAAAGACTTGTGAGCATCTCTGGTTGGCGCATGCTTCCCCCGGTGCCATTTGCGGAGCTCCTTAACTCCGACAATATTCAAGCACATTTTTGTTCCGCCATCTGTCAATATTTGAAATCTACACAGCTGATTTCTCACCTCAAAACTTCTCAGAAGTGGATTTAGAGATAAAATTACATACGAAAACTGTAAAATATAAAACTTTCTGTTGCTGGCCTCTGTTTGGCGTACGCAATGATGATGCAGTAAATAGTGAATATTCTCTCTGACCAATCAGTCTGCTGTGTTTTCACGTTACATTTTAGTATCCCTCAGCTGGCTTGGAACCTCAACGGAGGTGAGGTGATACGAAAAAAAGTACCTGGAAGCAGGTGCAGGTACAACATTTCTACAATGGAAACCCAAACAAAGGCGAGTCAAGCCAAAGGGCCTCTACTCAGACTAGCTTGGTTTGAGGGGGTGCCTGACCCCCACTAGCTGCTTGGCAAGCTTTATGACGCGTTTTCATTGTGACGTCACAAGTAAAGGAAGTGAAGGGCTGGACTACAAACGAGCTGTTTTCAAGCAGTTTAGAGCAGAGCTTTCTGTGGGAGATGGGAACTCCCTTTTGGGCTGGACTTTGCAAACTTGTTACATGCACAAAAAAGATATATAACTCAATAAAGGAGAGGGGAAAAGCCAAAAAGCATAATACCACCTCTTTAAAACTTAAACTTTGTTGCAGTCTCACACACATCTGGGGCAAGTAGTGGGCTGCTGTGTGTGAGAGAAAGTGTTGACCACGTAATGAGCATTGAAGTCTCTGTCCAGGCTTCTATTATTTATTTATTAATCCCGCCGGTAACATCCTATACTACAGACTCCCACGAAGCTTAAATTATAGTCCAGTTTCCACAGTTGTCCGTTTTTCCTATTAAATTCTGCTGATTGCAGTACAATACCATAGTATATTATGTAAATTATGTAAAGTATATTATGTAAATTATGAATGAGAAGTGTGTGTGTGTTTCTTTTAGGATGACTGGAAGATAGGCTAAGTTACACTCTTAATCAACGACAATGTTTTTCTGTGAATGGATGTAGCTAGCTGTATGGGCGGAATTAACGTCATATTTTGACAGAATAAATAGTGCCTGTAAAAAAAGATACTGTTACTAGTTGAATGATTGAAGCGATATATACAGTGGGCTTTGTTGCTACATTGGCATGTTAAGTGCTAAGTAGAATAGGCTCAAATCAATATGCTATATTTAAGGAATTAGCCTGCTAGTTTCCCGTTACAATGTTGACTAAATAATTAAATATAAATCAACGACAAAAACCATCCCCCTATGTCTATGTGATTAAACTTTATAATTTTTGAATGCGTTTCCTGTCAAATCGTACCCTTTATTTTGTAGTTTTTGCGTGTATTTCCTGTCCTGACAGGTGTCGTGCTACCTTACACGAGGTCTACAGTTGGACACTCTAGATCTACCCTAACTAATTAACTTTCATACAGCGGTTACTTTAGACACAGCTCTGACCGAGGAAGGTAAGGCATAACAAGGTCAGAGGCGCCTCCTAGGGATGGGACGCTCGATACTGACGTGTCGACGCTGTGTCAAGATCCCGAAGCACAGCACAAACACTGCTCCAAAGCGTGGTTCAAAACGTCAGTGTCACGTGACCATTGCGAAGCGAGGCTTTGGTGTGTTTCACCCCTGTTTCGACAGGTGGCACACTTGCCGCTTCTATGCTTGATTCAGTGTTTGGAACAAACTGTACATCAGCTTCTAACTCATTTGACAGATTTGTTCCAAGGACACACAATCATATGATTTATTGGAGCGATGTGCTGTAGTATCCACACCTGTAGGCCTATGATGGCAAAAAATATTTATCTTTGACAATAACAAATATACCATGTGAACAAATTTTTCCAAGGGTGGTGATGTCAATTATGAGAAAAAACCCGACTCAGCCCCAAAACTGCTGAATATTTCTGAATACAATTCTTGACATATAACAAATGTGAGACATTGTTCCACTGTTCATTTATCATTCTTGAAACAACTTAAACTTTACTCAGTTACAGATTTTTAATCCATTACACCTTATCACTGCCAGCTCTCATTATTATTAATTATTACACTAGGGTCTATAGCTTTCCTGCCAATTACACCTTTGTTAATAAGCTACTGTATAATACTGTAGATATCCACATTTATTATCATTATTAGGCTATATTCTTAGATTTGTATACTTTATTATATTCTCTACTCACTAACTTCAACTACCTATTATTCCTATTCCTTTTCCATCTTGCCAGTATCTGAAACAAAGACTTCACCGTCGGAGATCAATAAAGTATTCCGATTCTGAACATGAACAAGTTGTCTCTGTGGGGGTAGTGGTTAAGACATATGTCTTTGGTGTGTGACCTGGGTTTGATTCCCACTGTGATACGTGTGTCCCTGAGCAAGACACTTTACCCCTAGTTGCTCCCAAGGTGCGCCCTCTGACATAGCAATTGGGATTTGCTTTTGAGAAAAGCATCGGCTAAATGAGTGACTACTTATTAAACAACACACTTTTATTTCAATCCCCATCTGCTGTCTCTGACAACCTGAAAGCATTTGTGTGTTTGTTGTATGGTGATTTCTCCAAAATCCTGTTGGTCATGTATTGATAAAGCGTTTAGAATTGTAAACGCAGGTCAATCATTGTTTCAATGAAACCATTACCAAGATGTGTCGATATCAGAAGTGACCAGTAAGTGTCACCGTGGAGACGGGTGTCGAAGTGTTTCAAAGCCTCGACAATTCCAGCACAATTGCTTCAAACGTTTCAATGTTTCACAAAGCCTCGCTTTGCCCATCACTAGCGTCTACCAGAAGTCTGACAGAGGACACGTCTTACTTATGTTTTCTCTCCACGGTGATTTAGTCAAACTACTATTGCTCTGTCTGGATAGAAAATAGAAATGTCAGGCTGTGCTTTTATTTGAAAAACCAAACAGCGTTTTGCACCATCTTCTGGGGTGGAGCTGGTTCGTGCAGTAAATGTTTTCTGTAGAAAACATCTCTTTCATGTAGAAGAAATGGGTTGGATCTTAAGACAAACTATGGATGAACAGCAAAACCTCAAAAGTACATTACTGCAGCTCAGTTGCAGGAAGCTGTGAAACACCATCAGGATCCACAGCATCCAACCAGCAACAGGAAAAAGCATTTAAACTAAATAAAACCTTCTGACCATTAAGATTAAGTGTGGCTCTGTAATATGACCCAGAGCCCAATATTTCTAATGCACGACTGAAAGAAAGTTTGATTTTACAGGAATACATATAAGAAAGATGAATCACTGATTTCCACACCCAGTAAACACTGTGGACATCTGGCCTGTAGTCAGAGATATCTTGCTTTTAAAGAATTGGACCAAAAGATTTGATGGCCAGAGTGACCCAACTTCACCGCTCTCAGGCCCTGTGTCCAGTAACAGAAGTAATAATACAACGGTCTACAAGACCACATGAATTATTTCAACCAATGCATTTATTAGCACAAGTACTCTAACAAAATATAAATATTAGTATTTCATAAACATAAATGGAATTACATTACACACTCATTGTTTTAAAGATAAATACCTTAAATACAAAATGCTTATTAATGACTAACTAAATCTGAAGCATTCAGTTTCTCACACTAGATGTGAGTCCACACTGACTCTGAGAGCAAGTGAGTGGCAGGTGAGCCGAGGAACAGGTGAGCAGGGAAGTTCAGCAGTAAATGTGCAGCTGAGACTGAAAGAGCAGCATCTGGATTTGTGACGGGATTGACAGTAATACTGTCGGGGTTCTTAAATACCTGGTATACTGTAACACCTTGATATCGCCAGAGCCTAACTATGAATATATAGAGCTCCGCAGTGATGGGAAAATACTTGTACCCTACGCAGAATTATGTGAGTTTGTCACCAGACATGGTGGTCGGAGTCAGTGTGGATGGAATGGTGGAACTATTTCTTAAATATTTTCAATCCATCTAACCCAAGAGGGATAAGTAAAGTACTTCTTCATAAGACAATGGGCTCTAGCATCGCGGTGATAAAATGGAAATGGAGGCAGTGTTTTATACAGTTTATAAATATATACACAATTTAGATACCAGCTTTGGACACACCTGTGTACCACACCACTGTGAAACTGAAGGCCATCATAGGTACATCCAGGTCAGGTATGTCCATGACGCTGTGCTGAAGCCAGTACTTGGGCTAGTCCTTGTTGAGCAACAGCAGATTATATGATAAAGATAAATTCAATAACTTTAGAACAAAACATCTGTTAGTATAGTAGAGTCTACGGTCATGTGTTCCTCATTAGTTCTAAAGCGGCCTCTTTCTCCTTCAGAAGCACTCTGAGTCTCCTGATCTGTTCGTGGCGTGTTAGTTCGTCAGAGTCCATGGACGTTAAAGTGCCACCGGCTGGAAGCGCGTACGTCTTACACACCTGCTGCGTCTCTGCTGTCAGACAGCTGATCCTTCCGGATGTTTTAACCTCTTTCCTCACACCCTTTGTTCTGCCCCCTTTTTTGCCAGTCTGCTCTGCCGTCCACGCCCACTTCCTCTCTGGCTCCTCTGACTTGGCGCTGGGGATGCAGCACGGACACCTCGTGCGTTTCCTCATTCTTCCCATCCTCCTGGTGTTCGTACTCAGATCCACATGATTTTGAGCCTGAGGCCGGACTGCAGCGTCTTGTGAGTTGGGGATGTCATTTTCATCGGCGCTGAGGAAGTCCTCCTCTATGGGTTCCACATAGCCAATCACTGGCTCTGATTCCACATCACATGATTCTTCAGGTGAACTTTGACCTGACAGGTGTTGTGTGTTCAGTTTAAAATGGGAACATTTAAAGGTTTCACTGTCTGTGTGAGGAAGTGAAGCGGGATGGTCTGCTGACGGTTCCTGTTCCGGAGGTCCGACAACGATGAGACCGTTACAGCTGTCGGTTTCATGTGGACTTTGAAGGTCCTGTGAAAACAGTTCTGTGAACCTGCTTGTTAGTTCTTGATGATCCTCCGCTGACTCCTGTGGAGGATCTGCATAGACGGACCCAGTGGAGGCTTCATCGATCCTCTGCAGCCGTATTTTCACATCAGCTGTTATCCCAAATAGCCGTCTCAGGAGGAGGTCGTCTATTTGACGGGATTCTGGTGTCGTCCTTGTTGTCTGCAAGTAAACAAATAACACTCTTTAAAATACAAACGATATATAAAAAAAGCCTACAAGCTACATGCTAATGTCAGCATGCTAAAAATAACAGTATTAAAATGCTGATGTTCTTTATGACATCAAGCAAGACATCACAGCTAAGCAACAGTCATGGGGCACCACTGTTTCAACATGCCTTAAACACTCTGTTGTATACGCAAGCACACTGCATTTTCCTGCCTTTTCAACACATGTCTCAGCTGTTTGGGTAACACCTCTGACATGCTCACCAAACAAGAGAAAACATACCTCGAAGCCCTTGGCGGAATGTTGCACAACATTTCAAGGAAACAAGTTGTTCAATCTGAAACCGTTGCAAAATGTTTTGAGATTGAACTTGCCCCAGGTTACATTCAGAGAGGACAGCCCTAATGGTGCTTGCAGACTGTTATATACAAAGCCAATGCAGGCGGCGCAAAGTGACGCGAAGGGAGCGGGGCCGACGACGCGAAGGCAACGCAAAGGAATTCGCGTGAGTTGAATATTTTCAACTCAAGCGAGAAAGTCGCATGACACTGAGTCGCAATAGCCTATCAGTGTTGAGATTGTCCGTACGTCACCGACGGCTTCAGAGCGATGTGTGGAGAGGGCCGGGCAGAGCGGGGTATATAAAGTATTTTTACTTTTTAGTTTTTGGGATTACAACGTTGATTTATCTTCACTGGGGCTTCAACAGCTAGCTTCCGTGCATATCCGGTTCCACTGTTGTTAGTGTCGTTAGCTCTGTCAGACTACGACTTCCTATTTATATAAAAACCGGACAAAACTGGACATTGCTGGGAGAAAAGAAAGCGAGGAAGTTGAACTACCTGGTGAGTTCAGAAAACATGTGTCTGTAACTTCATTCCAGCTATCTACTTTACTGTGACCAAGTTAGCATAGAATAGCCCTGATCGATGCAAACTCCATTCAGAAAACAAGCATTTTAGAAGTTGTCGTCCTGCTGTCTTGCTGACAGACCTGACAAAACATAAATTCATATGTTTAACAAATCTGCATCATGTTGTAGTTATTTCGGCATCGGTTTAATCCGTTTATTGCTATTTAATCACAGCAAAATGTTTACTTAGGATTCATACAGCTATAGTAATGGCAAGTTGTGTTCATTCACGTTATTGCGTTAAAATCGCCTTCTCGCCTTGTGTGTGAACACTTGCAGCGAATATACTCACGCAAGGAAAGCGTCGCAAGGAGAAAATTTGCGTTTGGTCTGAATGCCGCATAACAGTGCCAGCCAATAAACTCAATTCAACAACTGAAACTTTTTAATTTCTTAAAGGAGACCTATTATGCTTTTCCACATTACTTATCTACAATGTTACAGTGTTGGATGTTCATGTTAAACATGGCCAAAGCTTCAAAAAATGAGGTTAAAGCATTTATAAGAAGTCACTGTGAGCAAAAACCTCAGGTTTCCTCCTGTTCTGAATGCTCTGTTTTGAAGTGCTTTTTCTACCAACGGCTCCGTTCTACATATTACCGAGCCAGAGGGAGCCGGTGTGCCATATATGGTCATGTGCTCTCACACTAACGGCATGGCAAGGCTCAGTCTGCCTGTTACGCCCAGCAACAACAGCAGCCTGGTAACTAGTGGTGTGTCGTTCAATGAACGTTTCGTTCATAAGACCTAATCGTGTATATGACTCGGGAGGAGCTTCTCTTACGTTCACTCATCACACGGCAGCTGCATGGGCTCCGTCAGCACAGGAAACAGAATTGATTAGTTCACGACTCTCAACTGTGGGTCTCTAGGTCTGAGTCATTTGTCACGTGACAGCTACTGTGGAGCAGGAATGAACGACTCACATGGGTCCTCCTCAGTCTTTCGTTCATTCGGCAGGCTGAGTGACTGCCACCGCTGGAGGCAAGTCTGTAGTCAGGTAACAGTCACTGGACTGACATATAGCTATTTTGTTAATGATGTGACATTTTATAAAGCATAACATTATTACAGCGCAGTGATGTTGTGCTAAGTTATAGTTTTAACACAGCTGCACCGTAACTTTAGTCCTGCTAGTGTTTAACATTACAGCTAACAGCTGATGAGAGTTGTTCTTGGTCCGCTCCACTTCAGAGCCCTGACAGAGTTCGACCGGGAGCCGAATTACCTCAGAGGTCGTCTCCTCTCCAAAACAAACAGACCCGGACATTAAAACACAGCCACATAGCAACGTTAGCGTTAGCCCTGTAAACAGCTAACAGCTGATCCAGGTCCGCCAGAGAACGCAACATAACTTGTCCTTTTTATTTACCAACAGAGTCGTGCTGTTGTTTAACAGCTCCTGACTGATGAACAACCTGCAGTGTTTGAGAGCTCATGTGTGTTTCTCTGTCGTCAGAATCCGGACCTGATGTGGCCCGGATAATTAAATTGGTTGAATTTTAATAAGTATTTATTCATATAGTGTATCTTATTATAGGGACGTTAGGCTGCTGTTTGAATGAGCACTTCAGAGATAATGATAGTAATTATATAAATAAGCCTTTATATGGCTGGTCAGGTTGTATACTCAGGAAAGATTGTGAGAATGGAAGGATTTAGCTGGAGTAGTGGTGATTACATATTGACAACATATTTCTGTGGTTTTTACATGGTTTGAATTTGGTTGTGGGCCCAGGGGGGTTTATATAATTGTGATATACAGTAATCAAGAGGTGAATTTGTGCATTATACTTTGTCAAATAAAGCAAGCCAGGCAGCCTTCCGTGTTTGAGAACAGCGCTGTTTTTTTAATCGCCCACTAGAGGGCTGCAGCGCCACAATAACCAGCCTAGTTCAAATGAACGAAATGAATGAAATGACTCAAAAAAAAGATTAGTTCATTTTAATGAACGAGATTTTAAGTCTGTCAAAAGCCACGAACTTGCCATCACTACTGGTAACATGCTTCAGGTCTTGGCCAATCAGAAGACCGTGGGCTTTGAGAGGGGGGGCCTAAAAGAGACAGGAGCATCTACAGCCTGTTCAGACAGACTGAAATGAAGCCCTACATGAAGAGTCAGTATAAGAAAATAAAATATTTTTTGAACTTTGAGTCATGCAAAGCTGCCATACAGGAGTTACAGAACTACAATACAAGTCTGGAAAAGCAGTTTAATAGGTCTCCTTTAAACAGTTAACATTGTGTTTCCGTTTAACAACATTTCTCCGCACTCTGCCCCAAAAATAGGCTGTGATGTGAATAAATGATGTGTAATAAATAAATATTGATTGGCATGACACAGACTGTAAACAGTGTGTGAGTGTGATAATGCACTAAATATTATGATGAAAGGCGCTAGAATTACAACCTTTAACAACCAATCCACACGCAGTGCATCAGTGTCAGCTTACCAGCTGCATCTGAACAGGAAACGTATGCATGAATTTAATTCTCGCGCTGGCTTCAGAGGAAGTTCAAACTAAAGCTACTATTTAAAGGACAGAAGTGTAATGTGAACGGACCTTTGTTTTTTTTTGTTTTTTACCTGTTAGGATGATAACATTGTGCGTGTACAGATGTGGTGCGTGGTGACATGCTCCACCCTGACTGTGCAATTAGTATCTTAACAATTCCGTGCATGAAAACATTTCTATCAAAGAGTTTTTCAAAGTAATTAAGTGCCCTCACCTCCATGTTGTGGGTGTCTTGCTCTGTAGGAGAGCATCTTCCTTTGTGTCTGTCAGAGCTGCTGGGATCTGCTGCATCACCCTCCACGCTCTGCAGCTGTTGGGTACAGGAGCTCGGCTGGCTGCTGGTGTTTGAGCCCTCATTATCGTGCACGTTCACCACTGTTGAGCCACAGACATTCTGCGTCACATTCTGCACAGTGCTCTGGCCAGGTATTTTATCTCTAAGGTCGTTGACTTCCTGTCTGCCTCCACAGTCACCTGTACCATCCAGACTCTTTAGCTCCGTGTCACTGTTCCAGCTGCTCGCGGCCGTCTGATCTGCTTCATTCAGAGGTGCTTTTTGTGTTTTTAGTCTCGACTTTTGTGTTGATCCAGACTCAGATTTGGGTGGAATATACGACACAAATATTACATTATCTTCATCCAGAGGAGGGACTGCTGCTGCTGGTTGAGACGAGTCATCCTGAGCATCATCATCACAGAGGTCGATCACTTCATCAGACTCATCTGGAATGATAATCCTGAAGTCCGGCTTTGATTTAGGTGCAGCTGACCAGAGTGATGTTTGGGATGAAGATATGGCGGTTTTGTTGAACTCATAACTGTTTGTTGCTGCTGTGGGCACGTGGCTTCTTCGCATTTTAGGTGACAGGCTGCACTTTTTGGCCACAAAAAACACCTTCCCGTTGCACATGACCAAGGCGTTTTCCTGTTCTTGCCCACCTCTGCCCGGACTCGGCTGAGATGCCGGTTTGTGGATGACGTCCTGGTGCTTGGTGGCGTTTTCTCTCTCTGCCACAGCCCTAAGGATCTCTGAAGTAACAGAAGGAGACTTCATAAAGTCAGGAGTCGGAGCCATTGACCAGTCCTCTTCTTCAATCACCCACTTTAAGGGGCCGCTGGACCTTTGTGAAACTGTCGGAATCAGTTTTAAACGTGGTTTTGAGCCTACTGATCCATGTGAAGTTTTGTTTGGTGTATTGTAAAGCAGCTTCTGAAGTGCAGAATCCCCTGGTGGAGTAGCGCCCTGATTCACGGTGGTGATAGGTGACACGTAAACCACGCTGGGCAGGCCTGAACATGGAGGGGAGCTAGCTGATGAAGTGAAAATCTGTTTCTTGATACCCAGAGGGAGTTCAGATGCTGGGACTGTCCGGACTTGTGCATTGGGGGGAATCTGAAGGTACTGTCCTCTTGGGAGGGCCGGGGATTTAACCGTCACTGGGAGTTGCTTTGGAGGTCTTAGTGAATTCCCACAGTTAGCTGCAGGTGTTGCCATCTGAGGTACTTTTGCCTTGAAATATACAGTCTGTTTCTGTGATGGATGTTTGTTTAATGGATTTCCAAGATCCAAACCTACTTGATTAGCAGAGCCATTCACGAGGGAAAACTGATTACTGACAGTTTGCTGAGTGGCAGAAGGATTCAACGCTGCAAAGTTTATGCTCACAGCTTTCTGTGGCGTAGGATCAGTTTTGGGTTTGCTTATTTGAATTTGGACAAACTGTCCGTTGACCATTTGTACAGGAATCAGTTTCATGATGTTCTTTCCATCGGCTCCGACAGCAGGCATCGCCTGGTAGAAGACGCCAGTCCCACTGAGAGAAATAAAACACAAACATGTCAGTAAGATTAAAAAGGTACATTTAACATTAAGATGAATTCATTTGACGACATGTTGTTGTTCTCTGCTGACATGTCAAATGAGACATTCCCAAACAATAAAAGGTCTAAATCTTTACAACTTTAAATTAATAATAAACTTATGATCCACAATGCTAACCATGGTTATCAATCCAGATTACCAACCGGGCCTCTCCAGCAGGCCTCACTGTGCAGCAGTTTGTTTGTGTAATTTAATTATAACTCAAAGTGTTATATCAATTAACATAACAACAGCCTTAAGACTGGGCCTGTTATATTACCTCCTATTAAAGCTTAAATTTTTTTGTTGCATCAAATTAATTGCTAAATTAGTTTGTGTTATATAAAATCTAGGAACACGGTTAACATGTTTACGGTCTGGTTTGGATCTGCCACCAAATAGGACATGGACAGCCTACAGAGACTGCAGAAAAGATCATTGGTGCCAACCTGTCCTCCATTCAGGACTTATGTCCAGAGTCAGGAAACATCACTGCAGATCCCACACAACAACAATCCCTGTGCAATAACCAACTGAGTAGCTGTTCATAATTTACATACTGTATTTATCACCCACCTACCTCATGTACATATAATATTGCATAATTACTGCACAATATGTATTTATTCCAGCATCCTTTGCACTATTTCACTACATTATTGTCTTGGTGTCTATGGTTTTGTGCATGTGTTGATTTTTTGTAGTTTGTGTTTTTGTTGAGTTTATGCTTGTTTTGTGTATGAGCACCGAGTAATGTAAAACCGGAGTCAAAGTCCTCCTATGTGTTTACATACCTTGTGATTAAAGGTGATTCTGATTAATGGTATAACAAGAGGAGGAGATTTAAGAGCCTATTTGTCCCCGAAGCAACCTCACAGATCACAAGTTTGACACTAAAGTTAATAACTTCGCTTATTTTACCTATGATTTCATGATGCCCTGACTCACATTTAGTTTATTAAACACAACATATAAAAAAATCTACATTTGAGAAGTAGAACTAACAATAAAGAGGGCTGTGGGTGGTTTAATTAAACCCCAGCTTCCTTATTTATTTAATGTTAATATATTTAAATGGTATGGCATTTATTAGATGTAGTAAAAGCCCATATACCTGTACCTGTGAACCGCGTCCATGTCTTCACCTGCGGTATACGTACCGCGACCGGAAACAGGTTCAACGAAACGCGAAACCGAAATATAATTCCAGGAACGTGCCAATATTAACACACATGAAAGCCATGAAGAAACGTCAAAGCACGCGCGTCGTTTCCGTCACTCCGTTACTTAAAGTACACCGGGAGGCTGTCTGAAGCCCCGACGCGGTCTTTCTTACACTAAATAAACGCCGTTTAATTCGCAGTGACAACATTTTGACTCATCTTTCTTCTGGCGCTTCTCCTCCCGGCTTCCGTTCCTGTATCGCGTCTGTTACACCGAACTTCCGGTCTGTTACAGGAGTTGCGTTCAACGGAGCAAATCGTTCCGAGCTTAGTTTTCATGCTCTGTTCGCCGAGTAGCGTTTTATTTAACTACAGACTCTTCCTCTAGGTTCAACACGGCTCTCTTGTGTTTTTAACACCGTGTGTTTCTATTTATTGACGCCACAAAAGCGCGAACAGAACCGTTATTAAACCCTGCCAACTTTGTTTTGAACAGCTGCTAACTTCCGGTCCAACATTACATGCTGCGGTTCCGGTCTGTTCCGGTCAAAAAACGCTTTTTTTTGTTTGTTTGTTTATTCCTTTATCTTGTGATGTGTTGAGTATTAATGTATTCCAGTGTTTCCCTTCAAGTGTAAACCTGCTGGGTTTTAGGCCAAACGATTGCATCAGAATGTTGATTAAACCATTGTTTGGATCCTCTCACATTCTCACACTCACATTTATACACTGAGCCTAATTGCTTGAAAACGTTGCAAACTGGTGAAAAACATTTTGAGATGGAACTTGCTCATGTTTTCTCCAGTTTGGTGGGCGTGTCAGAGATGTTACCCAATCAGTTGTGACAAGTTTGTAAACACACCGGTGTTAAAAAGGCAGTAAAAATCAGCACGCTTGCGTACACAACGGTGTTCAAGGCACCACCGTTACCGTTGAAATAAACGTTTTGCTACGTTTTGTCGCCACTGAACTCTAGGTGTGTGGCTGACTAAAATGCTAGATCAGGGGGTTCCCAGCAAGAAGTGCAATCATTTATTTTCACTATTATTTAGGGTTGCCAACATAGACTGGCTATAAAAAGGTTGCCAATTGTCCCGTATTAGCCGGGATGTCCCTTATATTAGGCTTAATTGATTTGTCCCATACGTGACCTCTCTTGTCCCAGAAATGTGTTTCAAACGGGCAAACTCTTACTAGCCATGTCTCCGTACGTAATGGGAATATCTGGTATTATGCGAGTTTTGCATGCCTCCCGAGAATTGCATGCATCTCTAAATAATGCTTTTAAACGCTACAATATCCTTTGTGGGGTTCATCAATGGGGATAAATGATTCTAAGTATTTAGCCTATTCTATGAACGTTTAGAGTCGTTAATACTTTATTACACTCAGTAGTAGCATTCATTGAGATTCAGCAAAAATAGGCGTTGATAACCCCGTTTGATCAGTGTGCAGAGCAAAGTATCTGAAAAGGACCTTTAAGAGGTGAATGCATAATTTGGCAGAACAGATGATGAACGTAACCTGCCAAAATTTGCATCCACCTCTTTTCTCAGCACAAATGAGCGTCACCAGCCACGAGGTGCATGAAATTCTTGGCAGGCATGCAGAACTCCGCACAACCGGTCAAGACGCCGACAGCAGAAACAGCTGATCAGTCGTGAGTTACAAGTTTGCTACATCAGAACTTATCCGGAAAAAGTGTTTCCATCTCCCATTTAGGCATTTACTCTTTTTCGACAAAGGCAAAAACCAACCCAAGCGAGTGTAAAATTTTTTTGCAAAATTAAGTTTTTTTTTTCGAATTTTGCCATTTCCATCAACCTTTTCTAATGAGATACTTCAAAATGCACATTAAAAAATGTTGATGGAAACACGGCTACTGACTAATACAACAGCAACAGCTTGGGCGAGTTCAATCTCAAAACGTTTAGCACTGGTTTGCAACGTTTTCTGATCGAACGACATGTTTCCTTGCAACGTTGTGCAACTTTCCGCAATGGGCTTTAAGGTATGTTTTTTCCTGTTTGGTGGGCATGTCACAGGTGTTACCCAGTCAGCTGCGACAAGTTTGTAAACACAATGGTTTTAAAAGGGCAGGAAAATGCAGTGCGCTTGTGTTCACAACAGGGTGTACGAGGCACCACAGTTTCCCTTGAAAAAAACGTTTTGTCGACGTTGAAGTCGTCCCAGCAGTGCCGATCACAACACTTGACATTGGTCACTGACACCTGTCATCATCCAATCACGTTCCTCAGTATACGTTTAATAACGTTGAATGCAGCTACTGTGGAAATTGACAAAATAGCGGCAAGCCTCGTACTTGTATCACACTGTCAAACATGGACTCAGCTACAACAGCACCTACTGCATTGTTAAGCTAAACGGTGCGTTGTTTCATGGCTCAAATATTGTGAAGAAGATGCATTTGGTAAGAACGAAAGCTGAGGTGATCACAATGAGTGTTTTATGAACAAAGACTGTGCGGGATATGCTCAATGATCTATCCCCGACTGAAGGTAAGCCTGTGTTTTACTCTGTTGCCACCGACGCCTCAAACAAGGGAAACAGAAAAATCTTTCCAGCGTGCGTGAGATATTTTTCTGTGTCTGATGGAGTGTAGTGCAAGCTACTTGACTTTTATGAAGATAGTGATGAATCTGCAAATGGTACTCCTCAAGTTCTGAACTGCCAGAAAAAGGATGAACTGGAAATAAAACACATCACAAGCTATGTTCTTTTTAGTTTGTCATATGTACATGAAGGGGATAACCTAATCAGAATCAGAAGGAGCTTTGTTGCCAAGTAGTGTTTTACACATACAAGGAATTTGCTTTGGTGATAAGGTGCTACATGCAGTCAAACATACAGATGACATAAATAGATTGAGAAATATATAAATATGGAATAAACAAATGCAAGTTATGTAAGAATAATAGAAATTGAGAAAAATAATACAACTATTTGCAGAGAAAGAACAACGTGGATATATTTACATGTGCATTACTCTGGTTTATGTTGTGCAGACGTATTGCAACGGAAGAGGATATGATATTTACATGTGCAGAGACGATTGTATTATTTGAAAGGGGGGAGTGGCAGCAGCGTACCAGATAGTGATGAGGAGGTGAGTATGGACTCAATGATGGCAGTGTAGAAGTGCACCATCATTGTCTTTGGCTGAACGTCTTCAGCTGCCGCAGGAAGTACATCCTCTGCTGGGCCTTTTTGGTGAGAGAGGTAATGTTCAGCTCCCACTTGAGGTCCTAGGGGTATGATGGTGCCCAGGAAGCGGAAGGAGTCCACAGTGGTGACTGGGGAGTCACACAGGATGACGGGGGAGGGTGGGGCTGGGCTCTTCCTGAAGTCCATGACCATCTCCACTGTCTTCAGTGGTCAGCGTTGAGCAGCCCTGAGGTGAACCGGTGCTGATGATCCTGGAGTCAGAGATATTTTTTCCCATCTTCACGTGCTGCTTCCTGTCCGTCAGGAAGTCAATGATCCACCTGCAAGTGGAGTCAGGCACATTCAGCTGGGAGAGCTTGTCCTGCAGCAGGGCTGGGATGATGGTATTGAAAGCAGAGCTGAAATCCACAAACAGGATCCTGGTGTAGGTTCCTGGGGAGTCCAGGTGCCGGAGGATGAAGTGAAGGGCCATGTTAACTGCATCTGCAGACCTGTTTGCTCTGTAGGCGAACTGCAGGGGGTCCAGGAGAGGGTTTGTGATGGGTTTAAGGTGGGACAACACAAGGCGCTCAAAAGACTTCATTACCACAGAGGTCAGGGCGACGGGTCTGTAGTCATTTAGTCCAGTGGTCCTTGGTTTCTTGGGGACAGGGATGATGGTGGAGGCTTTGAAGCAGGCTGGCACATGGCATGACTCTAGTGAGGTGTTAAAAATGTCTAAACACCGGAGACAGCTGATCAGCACAGTGCTTCAAGGTGGATGGGAAGATAGAATCCGGCCCAACCTACAGTAACCTACAGTGCAAGAGGTAACAGGTAGTGGTTCAATTAAAGGACCATGTTAAAGGTACCTGCTGTAAACTATTATTAAACCTACCAAATATTTAATTAAGAGATTAGCTATTCACACAAAACCATACCCGCGCTGCTGCAGCAGGCCACCTTTTGTCCCTTATTTCATAGTGACAAAGTTGGCAACACTACTATTATTCAATCCCTAAGTGTGATGCACACAAACTGTATGATCGCATTTTTGGTTTAATTTAACATAACCTATTTTGTACCACTGTTTATATTAATTTAATAGAGAGTCAAATAAGTCTTCCAAGGCTTTTGTATTACAAATATGTATCCATTGATATGTGCATTTATTTTAAAGCTGCTTCCTGCAATCATGTACAATGGCTCTCAGGAGAGAGTTTTAGCATCTTTCAGCTCGTTTTGGTTTTATATCCCCGGACTTTTCTGTTCTGGGTCAGACTCATCACTCATTCATCAGCAACAGCTGGCAGCAGATTTCAGTGAAAAAAGCCACCGTACACAGACACAGTTATGTATGAGCTGGTGAACTGAGGCTGAATTCCAGTCTCTACGCTCATGGACTCAGAGTTTGAGGCGGGTTTATTTGTACCCGTAGGTAGGTTTTGCAATAGACAAGTCATCCTCACATTTTAGAAAAGACACAAACTGTAGACAAAACAAAATAAAAGTACTCAAGGCTCCATGTTTGTAAGTGTGTGAAGTAAACTGATTATTTGAAAATAAGCTCTCATTCACAGGTCATTTTTTAACAAAGTCTGGAATATGTTCAGATCAGACAGTCGGTCTCTTTGTAACGCGACATGTTGCAAAGAGCAATGCGGTCCCATCATCAGGTTCAGAGACATCTTTTTAATCACCTTTACAAAACAGCCTTTTATTCATTTTAGTGCATCATTGCATTTCTATATTGTATATGTCCATTTTAACTGCATCACTGTTGTGGAATCTCATTTCTTTTTAACTTTGTCCTTTTAAACTGCTTGATTTTATTTGCCTCTGTTTTAAAGTGTTTTTAATTTATGTTTAACCATGTAAAGCACCTTATAACTCAGTTCTACAGTCAAACGCTGCTTTGTGGCCCAGCTTCACAACACGTCCTTCAATCATAACTTTATTTGTAAATCACTGTCTACAAGGTGCTTTACGTACAGTGAACCTGTCACATCTAAAGCAACGTTAACTGTCTAATTACAAATGCAATTCAATGAAATAATCTGAATACATCACAGTCCACATTTAATCATTAACTGTAATATCTCAATACAAAACAGCCGTATGCACGTCCCCAGCACTAAAATAGTTGATTCAACTTTAATATATGATAATAATCGGTATGCTTGAAAAGAAAACTACCTAGTTACTCCATTAGCTGTATAAAATGGAATGAACAGGATGTAAAGACACAGTGCTGTCTCTAATGTTCAGTGTAGAAGGCACATTTTGACATTAGTTGTTTGGTGTTAATGTTTTAGTGTGTATGATGAGGGAGGGGAAGAGGTTTACTGGTCCTGGGTCAGCATGCAAAGGTCTCCCAGCATGTTCATGGGTTTCCTTTCAGCATCCACATACGTGTAGTCAGGTGCAAAGTGGGAAATCTAAATTGTTTACAGATGTCAGCCTGAGTGTAAAAGTCATATCACTGGTAATTTGGACATTTCAGTTACTGAGCAGCTTATAACATTAGGGGAGAGCGTGGTGATTTGAGCCTGTGGGGAAGTTGAGCCACCTCTTGTTTCTCCATTATAGACAAAATTGGTCACATGACCACACATTTTTTAAGAGTCATCCATTTTCCTCACCCTGTGATGGAGAGAGGCCCATGGAATAAGTTATAAGCACATTTAAGATAAAAAAAAAAACCCTGCTATTTGCCATTCAAAGTGATTTTTTTTTTTGTTCAAGGAGTCCTGATTCTTGTATCTGAACAATTACAGACAGGTTTGAGAAAATCTTACACATTAGTACTTTAGGTAGTTACAATATGAGGCTATACTGTTAGCATGACTTTACCCTTAAACAGCTGGATGACACAATTTTGTTAAAATGGCGGGGATGGGGTCTTTTGAGCCAAAAGACCTGGGGGAAGTTGAGACAGATATTTGACTGTAATTTTACATTGCCGCCTTATGCATCATTGAAATGATGTGACATTATGCATTTTAGACCAGAAACCATCATGTCATGCTTCTATAAATGGAAGACAGACAGGCTTCAACTCCTATTGTGGGTTTGGACAGAGTAATGGGAGAGGTACAAAAATGGGTCCATTTATCAGGTGGCACAGGACATGACGATCAACAGGATGGCTTTAAAGCAGTACATTAATATGAAACAACTAGGAGACATAGCTGCAATGTTTCACTATCTTAGTGCAATTGAATGTTGGGACCTGGCGTTTGAGTTTGCATGATAAAATGACATGTGTCTCAACTTATCCTCTCTCTTGGCTCAACTTACCACTCATATGGGGCAAGTTGAGCCAAGAGTCCACTTTTTTTTTGGAAAGCCATATTTGGAAAACAGTTTATTTTAGATCCAAATTGATTATTTCCAGGGATGCACCACATCCTAAAATATATGTTCATATTTTAGTCGGAGAAAGTACTGTCATGTCCTCGCTTTAAAGACACCTCAAGTAAAAATTGTCTCAACTCACCCCGCTCTCCCCTAATTATGGCAGAGAATCTTAACAACAGGAACGGCTGGATATTTTCTCAGCAAATTAAAAGGAGAAAGAAAAAGTAAGAAAATCATGATGTAGTTAGATCTTACATTAATGTCAATACAAACTTCCACAGAAGATATATAAAGAAGCCTACGGTTTATTCAGAATCACACATAAAAGCAATTGCTTTGGTATTTTGGTGCTTAACAGTTAACATAGTAACATCATGTATATAGTACACAGTGAATGCTGATATATGTCAGTATGCAGTAGTAACTAATTTAATGAGCCGCTCAGTCACTGGATATTTGTGATGAGGTTTGAAAATTAGTGCAGTTTTGCTTTTTGACATGATTATTGTGGTTTGATTAGTGAACAGACCCAAACATCAGATTCAGTCCCATCATCATTATAACGCCACCGTCAGATCGCTCAATCCTGGTTTAACAGCAGATCGTCCAGAATACGCTCGCACATGTACAGGCAGCGAGGCACGTGGAAGAACCCTGAGGAAGAGACGAGAAACACGATCATCTTACCCACCAGACAAAGCAGGAAACTGCCCAGAGGTCCCAGACTCTCAGCAGAACCCAGGGCACCAGGTACTCTGTTTTGTTAAACTGTACATACCACTGAAGCATAGTCAGCACTGAAATTATAACTCCAAAGTATTTCACCTCAGAGTGTTTCATGTGTTGGGGAGTTCTACTGCACATATTTTAAAGTAGTATAAAGCCTTTAGTTTCTCAGAGGGAGCTGTGTGACAAATGTCCTCGAGTGATGTCACCTGAGTCTGCGTCGGCTGAAGACTACGAGTCTGAAACTGAAATCTGTTGGTTTGGAGTCAGAAAGATATTTCACAGACCTCTGCTGCTGCTGCTGCAGGCTACATTGCCCGCTACTCACATAACACACACCAATCTCTGACCAAACTGTCTAAGTCAAGTTGCATTGTGGGTAATACAGGCAACTGATTTTTACAATGAAGAGGAATGTGCGAAATGCAGTACTTCTTTTAAAACATGTGCAGTACTTATACTACTTTTAAAACATGCATTCTTACCTTTAAAGGGGCCTCCTTTAAAGTCCAGCACTACTCTCCCTTCCTGGGTCAGATAGCCAAACCACTCGCCGCTCTTAGCGTCCGGAAACTGTACAGAATCATGCAGTATATTCAGTAAGTATTTTCACAAAATCAACATCTACCAAGTTTCAAAGGTTCCACTCAGGGCCCACCCGTGGCATAGGCGATTGCCTAGGGCGCAAAATGTCAGGGGGTACCACAAGAGAAGGTTTTTGAATCTCTGTGAATCAGCTCAGCCCAGCAGATGCGACACAGGCAGTTATAACAATCGAGTGCACCTCGTGCTGTGAATCCAGACAGTTGTGACGAGTGGCAATGTAACTGGTTGCAAATATAAACATCTAAAACTGAGGTACAACCTTGCTTTGTTTGGGATTGTGAGCTGCAATTTATCGGAGTTAACGTGTGTGTGTGGATTGTGGTGAGATTTCTGCCTGATCACAAGTGTTTTCGGTTGGTTTCGGTTTCACATGCAACTTGCAGTCCCAATAGCCTACTACCAGCGGAGCAATAATGTAATGCACAGCAGACTAAAGGGCAGCTAGAATTCTCATTAAATGATGACGTCAGTCTCGTAATATTCTGACTTTTTTCTGGACATGTCAGAGAACACAGATTTGTGGGAGAGATTCTGAATGTGCAGAACATTTTCAACATGAGGGGAAAACCTGCTGAGACACAGGAGCTATTAAAGTCCAGGAGTTTATTACTGAATTAAAATTAATTCAGTGATCACTGAGGTGAAAAGGTGCCACCTATTTAAAGAGGTTACGTCCCCAAACAGAGACTCAAAAGAGGAGGGAAGGCTAGGAATGTTTACTGACTCAGTAGGGATTTAATTAAATTAGAAAAGCTGATCTACAGGAGAAAACATTTAAAACCAATAGCTACAGAATGCCTAAGAGCCTTACTGCATTATATTCTTTTAACTTTTAATATTTTGAATTGTCACCTGTCGCCTGAATATTGTGTTTCCCTTTATATAGATAAAGACATTTCCACCATAAATTGTTGCAGAAATTTTCAAGAGAATGCAGGAAATGAAGTCTTCAATGCTTAAAATTTTATGGGGGAAGACCCTCCTCCTCATTTGTCCCCTCCTTTCGTTTAAACTAAACCAATGCTCTTGCATTTCAGGAAAATGACCCCATAAATTTACTACAATGAAAGAAAACAGTATCTGGGTTGACACACAGTTTATGGGGGGACACATTCCCAGATACCAGGATAGGTTTAGTCTCCTATTTGAGGCTACGATGTGGAGGTTAAGAGGGCTATGTGGGGGCTGATCACACTTCATTGTTGACCATGATTATTGACTTGGCTGTTCATCTATAATGCTATGTGAGTTTGGCTGCTGAACTTTATAAACAATTCTTGAGGATTGAGGAGTGATGGGCCCAACCCCTGATGTGGTGTTTTTAGGATTAGGCATGGGGTGGGGGGGTGCCAATTTCAAATCTTGCCTAGGGCTCCAACACTGTCAGGGCCAGCCCTGGTTCCACCTTCCTGCAGACCTCCACATGACGTATATCTTTGAATGTGAAGTATTTATGCTTGAATGCTAACGGTGCTAAAGAGAGGACAGGTCTGTAAACATGTTCAACATGATTTTTCAGAGAGTGAGATGAGCAGATAGATCTCAGTCTCATGGCTGGTTGTTAGATACAGAACTTGGTTAGCCTAGCTAAGCATAATGACTGTTTGTTTCACTTCTAATGGCATGTACACAAGGTGGTTTTGCTGGTTTTCACTGACTATACACAAAATGAGTGATGCAGCACTAAACTAACAGAATTATTGGCTAATTAAATAGGTTATGGAAAGCTCCAAGTTAGGGGTCATTAAATTCCCTTAGTGGAAAAGAGTGAACTGTGACGACTCGGTGAGGCTGCACACAGTCACCGCACCGGATAGTAAATTGACTCTACTTGTTTAGCACCTTTCTAGTCTACTGACCACTCAAAGTGCTTTACACACATTCACACACTGATGGCAGAGGCTGCCAACCAAAGAGCCAACTGCTCATCAGAAGGAGACTAACATTCAAACACACTCACACTGATGATGACAATATGGAGTTCAGTATGTTGCCCAAAGACACTTCCACATTAATCAGTGAGCTTTAGAGGTGCTGGTAGGTGTATTTTGCTTCAAACCTTTGCTTATAGTCATTATGCTAAGATAGGCTAACTACGTCTTCCAGCTCTGTAGTCAACACACAGATATGAGAGTGTTCACTGTCTTCTTGTCTCATTCTCCATGTGAACTCACGTGGCTGAAGGTGTATTCGTAAACCTGAGAGAATCTCTGGAGCAGCTCTGGCCTCTGGGTTTGACTGTAGGCCATCAGGAAGGCGATGAGCGCCTCACAGTGAGGCCACCACAGCTTCATACTCCACTCCAGCTGCTCACCAGGGTCACAAGCAGAATCAGATAGATGCATTGATGAACCAGAAGTAAACACCATCTACAATTACAGGCAGAGGATCTGCTGCCTAAAGGAAAACACCATCATATGTGTATATTACTGATTCACCTGTGTAGGGCAGTGACCTTCCACATCCAGGAAGTAAAAGAGGCCACCATGCTCTTTATCCCAGCCGTACTGATAAGGGAGCTCCACAAACTTGTTAATGGCGGTCCTCTGGAGTTCCTCGTCCCCCAGCGCTGCACTGAACTGAAGCAGGAACCAGCCGGCTTCCAGAGCGTGGCCTGAGTCAGCACGGGTTAGCATGTGGGGAAGTCCAAAAGAAACATGGAAAATGTTGAGGTCGGCAACAATCAACAGGAAATATCTCGACCCAAGCTTCCTTGAGCTTCCTAGTATCTGTTTACCTGGGTTCTGCAGCCGGCCCTGGCAGCCCGGCAGCTCTGCTCCTTCCAGCGACACGTTCTCTAAAACAGCTGTGCCGCCTCTCTGTAACAAGTTACAGAATGTTTATTTTCAGTTTTATGTTATTAATGCACTAATTGGACAATCTTTTAATACAGAGTCAGAGTGAAGCTGTTACTTCTGGCTTCTTGTTCCAGAGGAAGGAAAACAACATTATTAAAAAACAGCCCTACAACAACCACTACACTGTGTGGTGTGTTTCATTAAGGGCCAGTTTATACTTCTGCGTCGAGTCTACACTGTAGCTGATGGAGTAGGATACATGCAGTCATGAGCATTTACACTCATGCGTTGGTGTCTGCGTCGCTCTGCAGTTACGCCACCAAAACGCTATTTGGCAGTGGGGCTTCTACGTTCCACTGTGTTGAGTTTCTTCGTCTTTGTTGGTGTAGGCTAATAGAAACAATGGTGAATTAAAGAGAGCAGATCATGTTAGGAGTTGGAGCTGATCAATGTTGAACAGCAGTTACTTTTTGTGAAATGATAATAAAACGAGTGAAGGTGTGGAATGCACAATGAAAGACGAGCCGGATATGTGACGCTAACAAGCCCACCAATCACAGTTGTTGTGGTCTGCAACTTACATGGAGAACAAAGCACAGACTGAGGGTTCTATATTGTAAATCTGCTCAAATATTTTGCTTCAAGGTCAAATCTGGTGAACTTTGATGTTAAAATGTGTTAGTAAGTTATTGTGATAGCATGTTCCCACTTGGCAGTTAGCTCGCCAGCTGCAGTAAGTCTAGCATGTGCAGGTGTACTTTCCTCCCCGCTGTGAATCCAAGCTGAGTACAGCTGAGACGCAACAAGAGTCACATTAGCATCAGTCAAGTTCTGCGTGTCCACACCTGTATGTGTTGTAGAATCTGCTGGACACACCAGCTGCCCAGATCTCCGTACTTCTGAACCACCTCCTGCCCCCGGCCTTCAGTTAGCTGCTGCACCAGACACAGCAGCATCATGGGAACTGCCATGCTGTTGCTGGGAATGTCTCCAGGAAGCTGGGGCCGGCCCAGGCCAGACGGGTCCTCCCTGACCCAGTAGATCAACTGCTCCATCATCTGTTCAGCCTCCAGCTTGCAACACATGTTGTCCACAAAGTATTACGAATTTGCTCGCTCACACACACACACACACACACAATTTACATAATCGAATCAGAATCATCAACTCCTGCCTATAGTCGACTGATAGTTGAATCGTGCGTTTTTGTGCACGACGATTATACTTATTGGAGAAAACTGGTAGTTCTATGTAAAATCAGAAGTTGAGCACCCCCATATCGCCAAAATGTCATGATCCACAGGGTAACTCCGCTTGAATCTTGAGAAGCTGCAGACTCTATTCATTCAACTTACACTGTAAATTTTACTTTTTGTAGAGATCGATCTCTCTCTCTCTCTCTCTCCCTCTCTCCTTTACTTCAATATCTTTCCTAAATCTAAAATAACAAGCCCTTGTTATTTTAGATAATTGTTGTTCAGTAACCCTTGTTTGAGATTTGAATGACATACAGACTCCAGAGGGTACTGTACCAAATACTTTTGCATAGTCCCCAGGTGTAACCGGTATATTATATTCTGAAAGAAATTCTTCATAAGTAAACAGAAGACCATTCTGGTTAAATAACTGATCTACCAACACAATGTTGTTGTTAAACCAATATTCCATGAAGAGATTTGTGTTTATAGAAAATGTCTTTGTTATTCCATATAAGATATTTGCGAGGTGAGAAGTTGTGCTTGTAGATGAGAGACCATGACAAGAAAGCCTGGTGATGAAAGGCAGTCATTTTAACAGGTACAGTGGGTACGGAAAGTATTCAGACCCCTTTAAATTTTTCACTCTTTGTTTCATTGCAGCCATTTTCCAAAAATCAAAAAATTCATTTTATTTCTCAGTAATGTACACTCAGCACCCAATCTTGACAGAAAAAAACAGAAATGTAGACATTTTAGCAAATTTATTAAAAAAGAAAAACTGAAATATCACATGGTCATAAGTATTCAGACCCTTTGCTCAGTATTTAGTAGAAGCACCCTTTTGATCTAATACAGCCATGAGTCGTTTTGGGAAAGATGCAACAAGTTTTTCACATCTGGATTTGGGTATCCTCTGCCATTCCTCCTTGCAGATCCTCTCCAGTTCTGTCAGGTTGGATGGTAAACGTTGGTGGACAGCCATTTTCAGGTCTCTCCAGAGATGCTCAATTGGGTTTAAGTCAGGGCTCCGGCTGGGCCATTCAAGAACAGCCACGGAGTTGTTGTGAAGCCACTCCTTCGTTATTTTAGCGGTGCGCTTAGGGTCATTGTCTTGTTGGAAGGTAAACCTTCGGCCCAGTCTGAGGTCCAGAGCGCTCTGGAAAAGGTTTTCGGCCAGGATATCCCTGTACTTGGCCGCATTCATCTTTCCCTCGATTGCAACCGGTCGTCCTGTCCCTGCAGCTGAAAAACACCCCCACAGCATGATGCTGCCACCACCATGCTTCACTGTTGAGACTGTATTGGACAGGTGATGAGCAGTGCCTGGTTTTCTCCACACATACCGCTTAGAATTAAGGCCAAAAAGTTCTGTCTTGGTCTCATCAGACCAGAGGATCTTATTTATCACCATCTTGGAGTCCTTCAGGTGTTTTTTAGCAAACTCCATGCGGGCTTTCATGTGTCTTGCACTGAGGAGAGGCTTCCGTCGGGCCACTCTGCCATAAAGCCCCGACTGGTGGATTGCTGCAGTGATGGTTGACTTACTACAACTTTCTCCCATCTCCCGACTGCATCTCTGGAGCTCAGCCACAGTGACCTTTGGGTTCTTCTTTACCTCTCTCACCAAGGCTCTTCTCCCCCGATAGCTCAGTTTGGCCGGACGGCCAGCTCTAGGAAGGGTTCTGGTCGTCCCAAACGTCTTCCATTTGAGGATTATGGAGGCCACTGTGCTCTTAGGAACCTTAAGTGCAGCAGAAATTTTTTTGTAACCTTGGCCAGATCTGTGCCTTGCCACAATTCTGTCTCTGAGCTCTTCAGGCAGTTCCTTTGACCTCATGATTCTCATTTGCTCTGACATGCACTGTGAGCTGTAAGGTTTTATATAGACAGGTGTGTGGCTTTCCTAATCAAGTCCAATCAGTATAATCAAACACAGCTGGACTCAAATGAAGGTGTAGAACCATCTCAAGGATGATCAGAAGAAATAGACAGCACCTGAGTTAAATATGAGTGTCACGGCAAAGGGTCTGAATACTTATGACCATGTGATATTTCAGTTCTTCTTTTTTAATAAATTTGCAAAAATGCCTACATTTCTGTTTTTTTCTGTCAAGATGGGGTGCTGAGTGTACATTACTGAGAAATAAAATGAACTTTTTTGATTTTTGGAAAATGGCTGCAATGAAACAAAGAGTGAAAAATTTAAAGGGGTCTGAATACTTTCCGTACCCACTGTACCTTATCAATATCGTAGTTACAAACTAGAAACAACCTCATGCCACCCAGCATAATACATGAAGAGGTAAAACATTCCAAATGGAGGTAGGGTTTCTATATAATTGTTTTAGCCAATTTATTTTGAAAGGTATTATTTAAAGGTATAAAAATCCAGAAAGTTAAGCCCACCGTTTTCATAGGAGTTCATGAGAACTGTTTTCTTCAAGTAATGTGTTTTATTCTTCCATATAAAACTGAATAGCATTTTGTCAATGTCTTTTATTAGTTTGTCGCTAAGATCCAGAGCTAAAGCAGCATATGATAATCGCGAGAGTCCCTCTGCTTTAGTAACTTATACTCTACCTCTTAACGAGAGATCTCTTAAAAGCCATTGGTTAAATTTCTTTTGTGTTTTTTGTACGACAGGAGTAAAATTTAAGGTCATTCTCCTCTGTTGGTCCTTAGTAATAAATATACCTAAATAAAGTATCACTTTTTATTGGAAGCTGGTTTAGGGCACTCTTTTATAGCCATAAGTTCACACTTATGTACATTCAAATACAAACCAGAAGCCTTAGAAAAAATGTTGATTACATCAATTACAATAGAAATTTGGTTTTAATTTTTCAGGAATAATGTGGTGTCATCTGCCAGCTGAGTTATAATTAATTCTCTCCCTATAAGAGAGATACCTTTCACAGCACTGGATTTAATATGGTTTGCCAACAGTTGAGCCACTAAAAGGAAGAGGTATGGGGAAAAGTGGGGCAACCCTGTCTAATGCCTCTAGATAGATTAAATCTTGGGGATGTACCACCCATAACTTAAAAAAATTATCAAACCCATTAATCATAGTAATCTAGGACGTCTAGGACAAGTCTAATATTATTTGTAATATGTCTTTTGGTCATGAAACCTTACTGTGTTTCTTCAATAACAGAGTTCAGTACCATTTTTTCTTTTAGCCAATAGTAGAGCAAATATCTTATAATCATTATTAAGCAAACATATTGGACGCCAATTGTCAATAAGTAATTTGTCTTTGTTTGGTTTGGGAATTAATGTGGTCAGACCTTGAGTCACGGTTGTTGGAAAAGATTCTCTTTCCATGCATTCGACAAAAACTTCTGTAAGTCCTCCGTAACAACCCCATTAATATTTAGTTTATCAATATTGTTATTATTATGTTTTTCAAAATAAAAAAAATAATGTGAGTTTTGTCCTTCTTCAAGCCATTTTGCTTTTTGAGTGTATAAATCTTTAACTTGCAGGGTAGCCAATTCTGCTTTTTCCTCCTCTAAAAGTATATCTGGGTTCTTCTGAGATAAAATGGTGATCTTTGTTATTACCTCTTCCTTTTCAACACTTCTGGATTTGGCTTTTATACTACCATATTTTCTTTAAAATTTACCAACCTTGAATTTTAAAAGTTCCCAATTATTTCCAAATGTTTTTTCTTCCTTAGCTTTGGACCAAAAAAAAGAAATCAGAGATGTAACCTCTTTTTTAACTTCGTCATTTAATAGTAAAGAGCTATTTTGTTTCCAATACACTGACTGAGCAGCGACACTTTTAACGGTGGAAAATTTTAACTTAATGTGTATAGCCTTACGGAGGAGTGGGCCATATTTCCACATCAATAAGATCTTTATTAAAGTTCTCGGACACTAACCAGAGATCTATTCTTGATTGACTAGAGCCTGTTTTATTACTCCAAGTATAAGACCTGTTGGGATATTTTTTTCTCCAAATATCTACAAGCCTGTATTTGTCTGCAAAGGCTTTTAAGTTGGTATTAGTTACGTTTGGTTGACCAGGTGGCCATTTATCCAAATTACCATCCATAGACATTGGCTATTATTACCTTATGATTACACATCAACATGAGCAGTTAGTATCAGTAGTTGTCATTCAGACATAGGTTTAACATGTTTGTTATGACCATCAAGTTAAAGTCACCTCCTAACAATAAGGTGGCATCTGGGAATTTGTCCGACCATTCTACTAATATAAACCTTTTCTTTGAAGAAAGTTGCTGTTCTTGGCAGCCTTCCAAACTGCATCCCTGTGAAGCCGTGAGATAAACCTGAGGATTAGGCCGCCGGATCGAGGATCATTTTGGCGCGGTTTCCCGACTCGATGAGCAACATCGGTCCATACTTTTCATGGCAGTCTCTAACACTTTTCTCCACATGTTTTTCAACGCACGCTATCTTCTCATTCATGTGTTTTATTTCTGCACGGACAGCTTCCACCATTTTCTCAATGGCATCACTTCTGGAGTTGATAAGGTTAGCCAGGGTGACAACAGCATTCTTAGATTTTAAAGTACTGTCCGACTGGAAATGAAAAATTGTAGGCTTTTTAGCATCAGGAGGTTTACTTGGTGTCACAGGCAGTGGGGAAAACTTGTCTTCATTATCCACTTGAACATTACATTCCATCCTACTGCCGTATTGTGTTCACTAGCAGAGAGGCTAACGTTGTTTACCTCCTTACTGGGTTCCATCTGTCTTTTCTGAACAGACAGGCATTCTTTTAAGGCTCCGTCTCACAACCACATCTAACGTTGTTTAATGGATTTCTTCAACGGACCGCACCAACTAAACTTGGTCAACTCACGTTATTCTAAAAATGCTACAAATAACAGTTTAGTGTTGAGAGCTTGACAACATTCGACTCGTCACGCCACCATCTTGTACGGGCCCCCCTCTTCAGCAAGTGTTCCTCCACTGCCACTACAGACATACACGCTACGCCTACACATGCGCACTGACGCTCCAGGGTCACCTGTTTCTGCTCTCTCAGCATAAAAGCAGCACAAATCCATAACATCTGTGTCACAACACAATGTTCCCAGTTTGAATCTGCCTTAGACAGGATCAGTCGTCTCTTATTAATTTCCTCTACTGTGAAGGTCTGTTAATGAAGCTAAATACTGCAGCTCTACAATACTGCAGTTTATGTACACTTCATTAAAGAGGTGGTATTATGCTTTTTGGCTTTTTCCCCTCTCCTTTATTGAGTTATATATCTTTTTTGTGCATGTAACAGGTTTGCAAAGTGAAAAAGCCCAAAGTCCAGCCCAAAGGGAGTTCCCATCTCCCAACACAAAGCTCTGCTCTGAACTGCTTGAAAACAGCTCATTTGTAGTCCAGCCCTTCACTTCCTTTTCTTGTGATGTCACAATGAAAACGCGTCATAAAGCTTGCCAAGCAGCCTGCAGGGGTCAGGCACACCCTCAAACCAAGCTAGTCTCACCGGAGGCCCTTTGGCGACTCGTCTTTGATTAGGTTTCCATTGTAGAAATGTTGTACCTGTACCTGCTTCCAGGTACTTTTTTTTCGTATCACCTCACCTCCATTCAGGTTCCAAGCCAGATGAGGGTTACTAAAATGTAACATGAAAACACGACCAATTGCTGATTGGTAAGAGAGAATATTCACTTTCACTGCATCATCGTTGCGTGCGCCAGACAGAGGCCAGCAACGGAAAGTTTTATATTTTACAGTTTTCGTATGAAATTTCATCACTAAATCCACTTCTCAGAAGTTTTGAGGTGAGAAATCAGCTGTGTAGATTTAAAATATTGACAGTTTTACGAGAAGTGATAGCGGAACAAAAATGTGCTTGAATATTGACGGAGCTGAGGAGCTCCGCAAGTGGCTGCGGGGGAAGCCTGCACCAACCCGTGGGAGGAGCGTGTGAGGCCGGCCAGCCGCCCGCTCACAGAGCCCTCTGCTCCCGCCGTCACACAGACTGCTGCAGCAACAACGGCAGACGGAAGGAAGGATTTCATACCGCTTATCTGTCTTTACATTCTGAGGAAGGTTGAAACGTTTTAACTTAAAAAAGAGAAAGCTGTGTGGATCGCTGGTGTGTGTTGCATTGACCATTACGTCGAGGCAGTTGTGTGTGGCGTCGCTATGACGACAAGCTATGTGCTATCTCTGGGTACTATCTGCAATGGAAAACGAAGCAGGGCCGAGTAGAGTCGAGTCTATGGATTTGCGCTATGGTAGCATTTTTCGGCAAAGCAGCACAGATCGTCAGAACACCGGCGAACACCGGCAAACAGTTCAAGGTTTAGTCCCAATGATAAGATGTGGAACAATGATGTTGTGTGGTTGTGGACTTGTGAGTAACTTATACCATCTGCTAGGTTCCAGTCGCAGTCTGAAGCGACTTTGATTTGGATCACACTACCTTGTTTCTTACGACCCGCCCTTCTCTGCTTCTGATTGGCTAGTAGTCCTTACCTGGGAACTGCGCGTGTGCAACTCCCAACAAAGATTTTGTACAAGTAAGATGCATCACTCTGTAGCTCAAGAGCGGAGCGTACAACACATAGGGTGAAAAGAGGAGCTGCAGCAATGTGCAGTATGAGAAAAATATGGTGTTTTTTGAAAATTAAACCATGTAAACCTGTTCTGGTACAACCCCTAATTAAGATTTTGAACCTGAAAATGAGCATAATACCACCTCTTAGAGTCATTTGTTACTCATAAATCAAAGTCAATACATCCCCACAATATGAAAATGGTGTTGAGTGGAACTGAAAAGTTTGACCTCATGAGAGCACAACAGAACAGCTCAGTATCATGAGTCACATCAATCAGCTGTTTACCTTACAAAATATAAATCCACTGTACCTGCATGTCCATGTCACCAGTGACCCTGCTCAGTTCATCCATGGCCATGACGTAGAAACACTCACTGAATATAGTCCTCTGAACTTTGACTGCTTTACCATCTCTTGTTAAGCAGAAGGCACACTTCCACCGGCCGCCGCCGCCACCGCCGGACACACGAGCAAACTTCCTGAGGAATGCTCCTCCTAAGACGCAAACAGAACAACGTGAACTTATGATTACACATCAACATGAGCAGTGAGTATCAGTAGCTGTCATTCAGACAAACTGGGCCCAGAAATACATGTTACATAGTGGAAAATGTTTTCAATATTGTTGTCACATGTCCTGTAAAAGTGTTTGCAGTCGTGCACTTTTCTGTGTACAGAAGGTAAACACTATCATGGCTGCCACTAATCACTTAAGTCTATAAAGGAACAAAGCGCTGCACCATCTGTTGCAAAGATTTACCTGATGTGTGACACCTAGAACCCATTTTCCCATGTTTTTGTGTCTATGTGACTAATTTGAAAATTTTTTAAACTGGCCTAGTATGGAGCAAGCGCGCTGCAGTCAACAGCACTGAATCAGGGCTGCAGTGTAATTCTTGGAGACAACTGCACCCCGTCAAAGTTCGTCCACTAAAGTGCTTGTATTTGCTGTTGACAGGCTCAGATTGTTATGACATTATGGAAAGGATCCCTACAGAGAGAGAGCTTTTTTTAAAGAGCAAGATACTTTTATTTAACCAGAAACAGTCACTATATCGCTCTCGTCAAAGCCACCAGACTCCATTGACAAAAACAGTATTTTTACCTCTCTGGTCTACCGCTGCCTCAATTGGTTAGTTTGTTTCTGTTATTGTGTGAGGGTCAAATTATTAAATAATGTATTGTAAAATGAGAAGTATCTTCTGAGAAAAAAAGATGAAGCTGAAGCTGAAGCTAGCAGCTGAGGCTAAAACTGATCTGGGTCTACTAAAACCAACAGGTCCCTCCTCTGGGGAGACCAACATTGCTCTAGTTATAGCAGCGTTTGCTGGTCTACCACTTTGGTCCAGACTGAAATACCCCATATTTATTTTCACTGTATGTTCACAGGTCCATCATGTTGATGCTAGATAAAAGGTCCGGAATCATGAAGGGATTAGGACTTGCTGTGTGTGTAGTCCCTGGTGGAAAACTTGGACCTGCACTAACTCAACAGATTTTACATTCACACACACCAGCTTTTGCTGCTTCGAGGATTTCAGGCTTGTGAAAGCGCTCCATGGTTCGGTACAGGCGGCAGTACATCCACACCTGTGAAAGACACAAGCCAGAGCATTCACATACCAGCCGCTGACTCATACAGCGGATCACTAATTCTTTATGGATTTACCTGTCGACCCTGCAGCCAGACGTATTTCAGCTCATCGTAAACCTTCCCATCCCTCCCAAGACAAGTGAAGAAGCCTCTGAAACAGGAAGCAGAGACTCAGCACGAGGATACAGACACAAACAGCCATGAGTAGAAAATATTTTCATTTCAGATGCATTTGTGTGTAGCTTCAGTACCCGTGTTCAGCGTCATGAGAGTATTTGAGCCAAAAGTCCACAACGCTGTCCAGCTCTGTGCGAATCCTCTGGCGACACTCCTTCAGCTTCACCACAGACATTGCTCCTTTAAAAACAACATGAACGTCAGTTTGTGATAAAAGGCTTGATGATTGAAGCTAACAAGAACATTTAACACCTTACAGAACATTCATTTAGAATTTGAAACTATTTGTTATTATAAATTATTATTTACAACAAAAGTACTCTCATTAAATAATAAATATCAGCTGTGTATTTGGGTAAAGCAATATCATAAAGTGTATTATAATAAGTATCACACCAATGCTTAAATTTGACATTCAACTCCGAAGAGCTTTGCTTGGTCTAGTGGCTGAATTTAAGACAGGATATTAGTATATTAATTAGCTCACACATCCTGCAGGCTGTGTCATCTGTATTTTGACTGTCCATTCTTTAAGTTTAATTAGTTTGTGTACATTTTAAATGGAGGACTTTTAGTTATAATGTTATTTTGCGGCAGACAGAAACAGTGTTTCTGTGTTTGGATGGAGTGTTAAATTAGACTTTAAATCTGAAGGCTGAAACTCAAACCGGTGTTGTATCCCTACTGGTATTCAAACTAACTGGTGCCAGACGTGTGGGCATGTTGTGTGCAGCAGCTGCGGACTGACTCCATCCCCAGATTCGTCACACATTCACAAACATATTCCTGGCGCATCTTTAATCTACTGCGGCGATCATGATTGTATAAATGAGCACTACATTATATAGCCACACACAAAAAAAAAAAGAAATGAAAGAAAATAGACTTTTTACAAAATCGCGTCAAGCTGGATTCGAACTCACCTGAGCAATAAGTAACATCTACTCCCACCTGCGAGCTGATCACGCAATCACAGATGACTGTCTTCCAGTCACATATTGATTAAGCACATCATCATCCAGGTAACACTTTGTTTGGACTGATCTAAAACAACTGGGCCCTGTTTCAGAAAGCAGGTTGAACAAACTGAGTGTAAACCTGAACTCTAGGTTGACGAACTCTGAGCTGTCAAACTCCGTTTCTGAAAGTTTTCCGTTTCAGAAAGGCCGATCAGAATAAGCTCAGTCAACTCTGAGTATGTTGAGCCTGATGGAAGCACGTGCGTGGGGATGGAAAAAAGCTATCATCATAGAACTCCGATACTACGATTCACCATGGCAACGGGTAAATAAAGAGCCTCCATTTTAATCGGGTGGAGCTAGAAAAATGAATGCGTGCCAACGCGGACCATGATTGGCTATAAAACGCATGATTGATAGGTTAACAATACTACATTTTATACAGCGTTGCTGATTCATCATTTAGCAGACTGGAATTTCCTTAATGAATAATAAAGTGCTCGAATTCTCCTCCAGCCTGTTATTCATTTTAAATAGCTACAGGCCTGTTTATTCAGCTGGAACCTGACGGGACTAAATGCCGGTGGCAATAACTGAAGATAAAAATATTAATCGAACAGATTAGACACATTTTAGGCTCTTCATGGACCTGTGATTGTAAAGCCACAGTCCGACTCAGTAGGCCTATACCTATTAATGATTTTTTGCAATTTAAAATGTGTCTAAGTTCAAACTGAGTGTGAAGTTTTAGATGTCTATGTTCCATTAATAAAATCTTGCTCATTTCGTATTTTGTCAGAGTTGAACATGATGCTTTTTTAAAAAAGCGTCATGTTCAAGATCATGTTTGGGTAAAAAAAACCTAATAGCCTATTTAACTGTGATTTCGATATTTCTAAAGACGTAACTGTGTTCTAATATGTGCTTTGATATCGACAGTATGAATGAGGAAATGTCACTTTTGTCACACCGCTTCCAGCTCCACAGGAGGAGTCGGAGAGAAATTCAGCGTTAGTTGAAGTAAACCTCCTCCCAAGCAGGTTAGGTTCACAGCGTAACTTGCCGGGGTTACAGACCTAGAGTTAATCTGATCTCGCTCTCTGAAACCGAAAACCCAGAGTCTCCCTTTTAGTTTTCACTAAACCCGCTTTCTGAAACAGGGCCCTGCAGATTCAAAGCTTGTTTTTGTTGTGCATTTGCTGAACAGTCAGTTGCACACACCAACCATCCTCCTTTCTCAAGCCTACAGACGTTGCACCTTATAGTAAGCACAGTCGGTACATTAATATTGGATTGGTTCTATTAGGTTAATTAAATAGAGGAAAACACAGTAAGGTTTGTGTGCTTAAAACTTCAGTTTACCGATTATTGTAAGAGAAAACAGAAAAACCTCCCCCAATAAACAAGATGCAAACGGGGCGCGAACCTGCGACCCACAGAAACACTACTAAGGTGCTATATGAGCTAAGGTAGAGAAGCTCATCCATGTACTGGTTTGGATTAATGTGGTCTGTTCTTGTTATTTACTGATTGGGTGATAACAGTTCAAACTGACTGGCTTTGGAAAAGACAGGGTGGAGCTCATTATCATTGAACACTAAGGGTCTTGTAACACGTTGTGATGCGCGTCATTGGGACACTGAGCCCCGTAAAAAGCGGCGTTACATGAGCACATAGAGCGACGTTTTTTTCGCCGCCTCCAGACCGACGAAAAATGCGTCGTTGTTTACACAATTCCACAGGGCGCTTTTTACGGCGTTTTGCTTTTTGGCTGTTTCTTTTTTTTTTTTTAACAAAACGAGGTAGGAAAGTGGCGTATTGTGAGCCTTTTAGCGTTCCATACGAGCATTGACTCTAATGGCCGCAATTAGCTCCGGCAAAGGGTATTCGAGCGGGAAGGCGCGGAGATTTGGAGCTACGTCAAGAGAGTGAACGAACGGTGGCCGGAAAACATAGTAGGATCGAACTTTGTTGGCGGATCTGCATAAACTGTACTGTGAATGTAACATCATGTCAAATAGTTCAGATGGGGATGAGATGGAGTGGATGATGTCCAGATCTGTAAGATTGAAAAGGGACTTGAGACAAAGAGAGAGAGGGAAAAGTTGGTCAGAACATAGCGAGACCGGCGAGGGAAGTAATAACAAGAAATTGAGAGCTAGCAAGAGTGAGAAACAGAAGCCTGAGAATACGGAGAAAGTGCAAGGAAACGATTGGAAAGTTATAATTGAGTTCAATCAGGATGGTGGACACTATCACCCAATTAAACTTACCAAGGCGATTGAGAAGGAGATTGGCAAAATCAAATTTGCAAGATTTCTGAACAATAAACGAATACTGATACATGCAAGCAGCAAACAACAACAAGAAAAGATTCTTAGTATGTCCACACTTCAAGGGGAAAGGATGAAGGCCCACATCCCAGGAGCAACAGCAAAGGTTAAAGGAGTTATATCAGGAGTCCCTTTGAATATGTCAATGGAAGATATTAAAAATGAGATTCAGGGAGGCAAAGCAGTTGAGGCTTCTAGACTAAAAAGCAAACGAGATGGATCATTAAAAGACACACTATTTGTGGTTGTGCAATTTGAGAGAACCCTCCCTAAGTCAGTCCAAATGGGATACATAAATTACAGCGTGAGAGAATACATCCCTCCCCCTATCAGATGCTATAAATGTCAAAGGATGGGGCACACAGCTCAGCAGTGCAAAGGAAAGCTAAGGTGTGCTAGATGCGGAGGCCAGCACGAGTATGGGAAATGTGAAAAGGATGCAAAGATTAAATGTTGTAACTGTGGAGGAGAGCATAGTGCTGCATTTGGTGGATGTGAAGTGCAAAGAGAAGCCAGAGAAGCCCAAAAGGTGAAGATATTGAACAAAGTATCATATGTAGAAGCTCTAAAGAAAGTAAGAGAAACAGGATCAAATAACAAAAACTCCAGTGGAATTGTCCAAAGAAACATAACACCAGTTAATCAGACACAAAACCAGATTCCAGCTCACACACAGAATGGTTGCGAGCATAAATGTAAAGTTGACGATGATACGTTGATAGTGAAAAAAGTGAACTTTGTGGGTTTCATATGTCACACCATCAATGTTGCGTCCCAGTTGAAAAAGAAAAGTGACAGAATTAAGGCTATTGTAGAAGCAGCAGGAAAGCTTCTTGATATGAAAGATATCAAAGCAGATCAAATACATGCATTGTTGACGGTAACTGAAAATGGAAATACACAAACAGAGGGTTAGGACACTTATAATGGTTCTTACATACTACAGTGGAATGCAAGAAGTCTTATAGCTAATGGTCAAGAATTCAAAAAGTACATTCATGAATTAGATGTTGTTCCAGATGCAATATGTGTACAAGAAACTTGGTTACGAGACAGACTAGATTATGTGATACCAGGGTTTAGCTCTATAAGGTACGATAGACCTAACAACCAAACTGGTGGAGGGTGCATCACCTTTATCAAGGATGGGTTGGCCTACAGGGAATTCCCAAGCTCAGAAGATTCAGAATGTATAATAGTTGAAATCTATAGCCCAAGGAAAGAGGGAAACATTAAATTGATTAATTTCTATAACCCATGCAAAAACTTAGATATCAATAAACTGAATGAAATGGCAGGGACTGTATACAGGAAAGAAATATGGTGTGGGGACTTCAATGCACACAACAGCTTATGCGGCAGCAATCACACAGATAATAATGGGGACATAATTGAAGAAATGATGGAAGAAAGATCACTGGTCTGCATTAATAATGGACAGGGAACACGAATGGATGTGAATAGGGGTAAAACATCATGTTTGGATATCACACTGGTATCAGATAATTTGCTAAAAGCATGTGAATGGTTTGTTATGAATGATTCTACCATAGGAAGTGACCATTTTCCAGTTCTCACTATTATCAACACAAATGTATGTTTCCAAGAAGGAAGTACAATTAACAGATGGTGCTTTGAGAAAGCAGACTGGGAAAAATTTAGGTTATGTTGTACGAAGTCAGCAAACCTTGTGACGTTTGAAGGTGATGTAGAGGAATGCACAAAGCAAATTACAGAACACATTATAAATGCAGCACATTTAAGTATTCCAAAAAGAACAACAAAGGGCACGAAGAAAGTGGTCCCCTGGTGGAATGAGGAGTGTAGCAGAGCTGTAAAAGAACGAAACAAAGCCTTTAAAACATTAAAGAAGAATTTATCACAAGAGAGTGTTTTGGATTTTCAAAGGAAAAGGGCAGTGGCACGTAGGACAATTAAGTTAACCAAAAAGAAAAGTTGGAGAGAGTTCTGTTCCACCATAGGTAGAGCTGTAGAGTTAGGGGATATATGGTCTATGTTTAAAAGAATGAGTGGGAAAAGGAAAGCGATTAAAATCCCAGCTTTGATAGATGGAGGAAAGACGGTGGTGTCAGACAAAGAAAAGACAGAGATGTTGGGTAGGGCTTTTGCGGCTGTGCATAGTGGTGATCACCTTATGGATATTCATAAGCAACAGAAAGACCTGGCACTCAGAGAAAATAAGGACGTGAAGCTGAAGAGGGAGGATGGTACAACAACTTTAGATGTGGATTTTACAATAACAGTACTTAATATAGCTCTGCTTGGCAAGGGATATACAGCCCCAGGACAAGACCAGTTATGTTATGCCATGTTCCGACAGCTGCCAGTAGGGTCAAATAAGCTAGTGTTAAGACTGTTCAATAAAATATGGAAGGATGGAATAATACCGAGAAGTTGGAAAAGTGCAGTGATACTACCGTTTAGCAAATCTGGTAAAGACCCAACCAATCCTGGTAATTATAGACCCATAGCTCTTACATCACACTTATGCAAATGGATGGAGAGGATAATAGTTCGTAGGTTATCACATGTAATGGAACAGAGAGGACTACTGAGTAATATACAAAATGGATTTCGGAAGGGCGCTCCACAACAGATGCTCTTGTTAGAGTAAGTAATGAGGTAGAAAAGGCACTGAAAATGAAAGAGCTGATGATAATAGTGTATTTTCACATTGAGAAGGCATATGATACTATGTGGAGGGAAGGACTACTTATTAAACTAAATAGAATGGGGTTTGAAGGAAGGATTTATAACTGGATACTAGACTTTTTAACAGATAGGAAAATTAGAGTAAAGGTTGGATCAGAAATTTCTACAGAGTTTAAGGTAAATAATGGCATTCCCCAGGGGAGCGCAATTAGCCCTATATTATTCAACATTATGATTAATGATATATTTTCATATTTAGATGGACACATCAAATCAGCGTTATATGCAGATGATGGGGCCATATGGATGAGAGGAAGAAATGAGACATATGTGTTAGAGAACATTAGGAAAGCAATAGGGAAAGTAGAGAAGTGGTCATTCAAGTGGGGATTTAAAATATCAACAAGCAAATCCTGTTATATGGTGTTCACAAACAAGCGAAAGTGTCATGTAGAAAAGCTTTTTCTATATCAGCAGCCAATGGAAAAAGTAAATGAATTGAAGTATTTGGGATTGTGGTTTGATAGTAAATACACATGGAAAACACACATAAAGCAATTGGAAACTAAATGCAAACAAGTTAATTTACTGAGAGCGGTGGCGGGATGCGACTGGGGTGCAGATAAACAGTCACTAATTGACATATATAGAGCATGCATGAGGTCATCAATAGATTATGGTTGCATAGTATATGATGCAGCAGCAAAAACAACATTGGAAAAAATTAATAAATTACAATACAGAGCCTTACGGATATGCATTGGAGCCATTAAGACAACTCCCATTAACACAATACTCATAGAAGCTGGAGAGACACCACTGGAGTTAAGAAGAGAGAAACTAGCGCTAGCATATTGGGTCAGATTGAAAGGAAGTGGGAAAGAAAACCCTGCAAAGGAGATAAAAAAGGATTGTTGGGAATATTTCAAGTTTCGGGGGCATGGGTTTGGATGGACAGGGGAAAAAGAGAGTCAGGGAATACGGAATGGAAGGATTAGATTTCACCACACCCAATCCAGTCAGTAATATTCCACCTTGGCTCTATCCAGACGTAAAAACAGATTTTAGTATACTGGAAAAGAAAAGAGGATGGGGAATAGAGGAAGTGGGAATACGGACTAGCAGCTATCTGAGAAACAGTTTCCATAATTATCTAAAAATCTATACAGATGGATCTAAAAACAAACAGGAATGTGTGGGAATTGGAATACATATACCAGAATTCAAAATAAATATCTCAAAACGATTATCAGATAGGCTATCTGTATATACAGCAGAAATAGTGGCAGTCATTATAGCATTACAGTGGGTTGAAGAGGTCAGACCTGATAGGGTGATATTATGCACAGACTCCTTAGCAGTTATTAAAAGCATTCAGTCAATGACATCTGTCAGAGATGACCTACTGATAGAAATGTTTCACAGCTTATTAAGATTACATCGGGGAGGGATAGATGTTCCGTTTTGCTGGGTGCCAGCTCATGAGGGAGTAAATGGAAATGAGATTGCAGACAAACTAGCAAAAGAGGCATTACAAAAGGAAATAACAGTTCAAATACCTCTAGGAAAAGGAGAAGGAAAAACAGCCATTAAGAAGAAAGGTACTGAAATATGGCAGAAATGGTGGGAGGAAGACAGGAAAGGAAGGAGTTACTATAAAATACAAAAGTCTGTCAGTAATAAAAATTATAGCGAAAGGAGCAGGCGGGAGGAAATTATTATGACAAGACTAAGAGTAGATCACACAGGACTGAATGGCACCTTGTTTTTATTGGGGAAAAGGAATAGTGAAAAATGTGAAAACTGTGGGGTTAAAGAACATGTTGAACATATCATTTTGCACTGCATATTGTTTGAGTTGGAAAGACAGATATTTCAAGACAGGGTTCAGGAAGCAGGGCGGGAATGGAATCTGATGGGGGTACTGGGAACAGAAGGAGAAGAAAAGGGTATAAGAATCACCAGGAAGGCATTATTTAAATTTCTTAAAGACACTGGGTTGGTGAACAGAATATGAGAGCACCTTATTGAGGTTGATAGCTGAGTGATATGATGTTACACACTCCAGTACAGTAGGTGGCGGTATGCACTTAAAAGTTGTTTGCAATCCGCCATTAAAGAAGAAGAAGAAGCAGCTCCGGCAAAGGCGGCGCACCTAGACTGAGTCAGTGGATTTTAGGGGTTAGGGTTAGTTAAGCCAGATAACGAAAACATATCCTGGGTATGTTGAACTCGCTTCGTGGTACAGGCCCCAGTTGTTTTTAGATCAGCCAAAACAAAATGTTACCTGGATGATGATGTGCTTAATCAATATGTGACTGGAAGACAGTCATCTGTGATTGCTCGATCAGCTTGCATGTAACATGAAGAGCAGGCGGTAGATGTTACTTATTGCTCAGGTGAATTCGAATCCAACTTGACGCGATTTTGTAAAAAGTCTATTTTCAGCTATTTCTCTTTTCGTGTGTGGCTAGATAATGTGCTCACATATACAATCATGATCGCCTAAGTAGATTAAAGATGCGACTTGAAAATGTGTGACGAATCTGGGGATGGAGTCAGTCCGCAGCTCCTGCACACAACACGCGCACGAGTATGGCAACCAGTTAGTTTGAAAACCAGTAGGGCTACAACACCGGAGCAGCAGGCTGTCCCGTTCAGTACGAAGACAAAGCCCAAATAACGTTCTTACCTTCGGGTCCAACCGCAGCTCAGGAGTAGAGACGTCCTGCAGAGGGTTCAGGTTCTGCACTGGTTAAGGTTCAGCAGCTGGTTCGGTCCGTCAGGTCTGGTCTATGTGACCAGCTGTCATATGACCTGCGGCAGAGGCTCAGAGGAGGAAGTGGAACTGTGATCCTGCTGAAGTAAACGTTACACTGGAATCTGCACATGAGGCATGAAATGCAGATTAAATTGTTGTTGTGAGGATCCTGTGGCACAGAGGGCAGGAAGTGATAGGATTTTATTAACAGTCAGACTGTTTGTATTTGTCAACTATTAAATTACTGTCCAACTGACTAAACTAATTAAGTCAAAATTCTCTGATTCTTATTTTGTGGTTTCTTTCCTCCTCTGTGACAGTTAACTGAATAAATCTTGGGGTTGTGGAGAAATTGAGGGAACAATGACCCACACTTTTTACCATTTTATAGACCAAACAACTAATCAATGGAGTGAAAGATTAATTGACAGTGACTATTGATTGCAGCCCTGCTAGAAATGACAAACCAACTGCTTGTGTGAAGTTTCTGCAGAGTGGTTAGTTTCTCTTTTCTTTCGCATAATTCAACATTTGAATAAGGTCAGAGTTTAAAATGATCCTCTGAAGTCTGTTTGATATAAATGTACATTAACTTTAACTGCTTTTGCACAAAGCACAAACATGCATCACCCCAACATGTGCTGTGAGAGGTAGAGGATGTCAGTTTGAGCTGAATCAACACAGGACAACTATCCTACTGTACTGACAATTGAAGACTTCACATAATATTCCTGTTGATATGAATTATCCAGAGACCATATTAGTGTGAATGACTCAGCTTTTTTTAACCGGTCTTTAGTGGATCGAGCAAAGCCAAGAACCATCAGGCCTTAATAGGTGTCGGTACATAATATTAAATAGTTGAATAAATTAGACATGTATGTTCTTTAACACCACCACATGCTTTAAAGAAAGTACAGTTATGATGTGACTGGGTTAAAAATATTAACACAAGAAGCCCTCTGTGTAACATGTACATGTTATACATGATGTACTGTGTTGGAACTTTTCAGAGACGACTTTGGGAGGAAATGTTGAGAGAAATGAAGGAGAGAAACCAGCAGATGACAGCATGAACTGGTCCCAGCCTTCATGCGTTCATTTGTTCGTTTGTTCGAAAAATTATGCAATTTATTTTAACTTCAGACTTTTTTTGTTTCTGTTTCAGTTAATCTGTATTTCAACCTGCATATTGAGTTGGTGATTAACAGCACCAGTTTGTGCAAGCGTACTTAGCAGAACTGATTCTTTTTGAAGGCAAAGGGGGGGGGTCACACCAAAAATTTATTTAGATTTTTATTTTGTTCGCTCACTTTGCATTTTGTTAGTTGATAAATATATTAACGTATCTCTTTTTGAAAGCATTCTTACTTGACAGCATTTTTCCACACCTGCCTGAAACCTTTGTGCAGTAATGTAACATGTTTTTTTTTTGTTTTTGTTTTTTTTAAACCTGTCCTGCCCAGCAGCCTGGTATAGAGTATAATGACCTGGATACCATATTGTGCCAGACAGATTTTACTTTAACAAGAGAGTATTAAAATACTCCTTTGTCTGTTTTATTATTTATTTAATTATGTATTGATTTGTCACCGGGCCGGACAGGGGGGCAGACACGGGGATGGGGGGGCACAAACAGACAGCACAGAGAAAGGACAACACCTGCAAGAAAGGGGGAAGGGGGGATGGAGGGTGGGGACAACAGGGAAAAGCTGTGGGAAACACCAATTGCAGAAAGCAACGAAACCTGCAAGAGAACAGAGAGGGGGGCTTGGGGAGGAGAAAAACAACAACAAACAAACACAAACAAAAAAAACAATAAAAATAATAATAATAGTAAAAGACAACCAGCCAAACAGCAGCAATAAACAGCTGACATATTAATGACATATTAAGACAACTAAGAGAACAATGAAAACAAGAAACAGTCACACACACTAAATAAGCAACACAACACAGCCACGAGAGCTGGAATAATAATTAATTTAAATAAGTAACTGAAAGAAAAGCATCAGGAATAGTTCTACCAGGGACAACCTAAGTTTGTGTGTGTCTGTGTGCGTGTGGGTGAATGTGTCTGTATGTGTGTGTGTACATGTGTGTGCGCATAAGCCTGTTAAAGAATGTAGTTGTTAGAGAGAGTGGGACGCCACGACCGTAACAGGCAGGCAAGAACCCCAGTAGCCAATAGGGGTGGAAGAAAGAAAAAGAATAAATCAAATAAAAAAAAAACAAAGACTCCCAGATGCACCGCGATGCAAACGCAGAAGACCCCGACCCAAATGCCAGTTGACAACGTAATGCCGACGGAACGCAAAAGAGGAAGAGCAGCGCCCGGACCGACCGCGGCGCGGACACAACATAGACCAGTGGCCCCCCCCCCCATCCAGCACCCCACCGCCGCGCAGCAAACAACCACAATGCCCAAATGCCACGCAATCATCAACACCAATGCACAAGTAACGAGCACATGTTTTAGTACATGTGTACACGATGTACTACACAAAGTGAAAGAAAGATGTTTGATACAAAACAGTGTTTTGTGTGTGTGGCAGGATGAACTGGTCCCAGCATTCATTCGTTCATTGAAAGAGACAGTACACACGAGGATGATTGATATATAGTATGACCACTGAATATATAAAACTTTACAGCTCACAGTCATAGCAATAGTTATAATATGTAGTATAGTTAAAGTTTTCTGGTGTGGTGTTCACAGACTATGTTGACACCGCCCTCACAGCACCGCCCTTCCTCACTTGCTGCCTGTGTTACGATATCTGATTAGATCAGCTCACAGTGCTTAGTCACTGAAAACTGTAATAAGAAAAACCAAACTGACACAATCTTCAGGCTCCCCTGTTGCAAGGCACCCTGGGACGACATATGTTCATTGATTTCACTGGTTCACCTGGAGACCACAAGGTGCTGAAAGGAATACCTGCAGACAAAAACGTTTCTGCCAACTATGTAATCTATATTTTGGTTACAGTTTACATTGTCCTGCTAGAATTTAACACCTGTCAGTAAAGTACAGAGCTAAAAAAACAACAACATCATTTATCAGAAATCTATATATGAGGCAGAGGTTTCAAAAGTGTGAGGCGGGCCTCCCCAGGGGCCTCCAAGCAGTTTCGGGGGAGGTTCTATGAAATTAATATAAAATTAGTTATAAAAAGTAAGATCAGCCTTCATGTGCATGATTTGGTTAAAGACACAGTAGTTTTGGGGAACTGTTTTCCCACTTTATCAGAGTCAGAAACCATGAACCATCATGATGCTCTGTAGCTGCTGGAGGAGGAAATAAGCTGTTGAACTCATCACAAGTTCAACAAGTCAGCTTTATAAAGTGATATGTGTCAGATGTTTTGTTTACAGCATGTTCATTAAAAGTTCATTCAAATCAGTCAATGCAGCTTTCATTATATATCCTGGGTGACCAAAAATGCTTGGACCAGCAGCTGAATCTGGCACAGCTGCCAAATGACTCGATGAATGGCATGCCAATTTCTAATTTAAGAGCAACTTAAAGCCAAAGGGCAAAACTTGTCTGCGTGCACTAACAGAGAGAAAGCAACATCAGAGCAATTTAGAGCAAAGAGAAGTCAGAGCATCATGCTAACCTCACCAGCTCACAGTTTAATGGCCCTGTCATGGAAGTGATGGAAGTTGTATTTAGTACTTATATCAAGTATGAGTCTCCTATTCTAGTGTTGGTGATTGGTACTTCCACCCCTGCACTGGGATTATTGTTAGTATCAGTAGTGTTGGTATTGTAGTAATACTATGGTATTGACTCAACAGAGGAAAATCCTTGCTTACATGTTCCCCGCTGAGGTGTTGTAATAAATTTACTGTTGGCCAACAACCCAACCAGACTCTCAGTTGTTCTAACAGATTCAATAGATGACAGACGGTGAGAAATCTGACTCTTTATTTGAGCTCATAAACAAGCCAGTGGCTCTCTTGCAGCGTGTCTTGCAGCGTGTTTACCTCCTTCTCTCCCACAGCCAACTGTGTCAGGATGTCAGGGAACCTCCTGGGGAACTGTTTATGTAGCTTGCTTGGCGCAGGTGTGTTTATTGCAGGTAAATAATAGCATACAATAAGCCAAGAATTAAAAACAACTCGCTGTATTAACAGTGAATTTAAACCGTCTTCGTCTCCTCCTTTCAGGATGCACCATTCTCCTCATAACAGCCTTCCCAGTTATGCAGATCGCTTTAGGTAAGTGAGCCTCTGACACCTCTTTTATTTTATTTTGGGAAAACCTTAATGTTAAAAGGCACCTTGAACTATATGTAAAGAGTGAAATGGTTAAAAGGTGGTTTTATATGTTTTAAACTCCTATCATGTTCAGGGGACAAAGTAGATTAACATCAGCTAAACTCTGTGAACCCATCTTTTATCTCTGAGAATGCTTTAATAGTTTTATTCTTTTACATGTTGCGGTGTAACTCTGTAGTTCACATCATGGTGAGAAGACTTAAAATGTTGTACGTTTTGCTGTGACAAAACAAAAAAAACCCCACATTTCACATTAGAGTTCACTGAAACTCAAGTGGTTACTGTAACAATGTCTTATAAACCAAACTCTGAGCCTGTGCTTCATGCAGCAGGTCATCGCTGCCTTGTGTCGGCTTAAATTCACTTAAGAACACATTTTATTATCTTACATTTTTTAAATGATCCATTGCTGTCCATCAGGCAGAAAGCACCGCACACAAATTACAATTTAAAGAGAAATCAAACACAGTCAAGTCAAACAAACAAACATCACGTATAAAGAAAGAGATAGTTACATTTGTCAGTTACATGGAGTTATAACATGGTTTTAAATTCATTATATGGGACAAGATCATGTTGATGTACTACATCAACATGATCTTTCTTTAACAAAGAATCCTTTTATTCCCGGGTCAGTGAAAATCCTTGGAACCTGGTGAGAATTTAAAAATAAATCACATTTAATGTCGTTATGGCAGTTCAATGCTCAAGTTCAAGTACACTCGAGTTTAACTTTTGTCAAAGATAATGCACATAAATGGAAAATGAGTTTGTGTCAGCTTCCTGTGCTGTGTGTGAACAGGTGCAGCGTACATGTACGAGTGTCCAGCAGCACCAGTCATCCCAGTGTATGTGATGGTGTGTGGGATCATGGCCCTGCTGATGATGGGCCTGTTTGCTTTGTCAAAACTCTGTCCAGAAGCACCGGGCAACAAGATCTGGAGTCTGTGGATCCTCAGCCTGGTCCTGTTCTTCCTCATCTGGTTCCTCTATGGTAAGTCGTCATCATCATCATCATCATCATCATCATCATCATCATCATCATCATCAAGGGGCTGTAAATGAAGAAGATGCTGCGTGTTCCTCATGTTTATGTATTATGTCAATCTCATTCTCATCAAGGTTAATATGTAAAATTAGCATGATTAATTAGTATTAGATGACGTATTCAGGTCCTTTACTTTAGTAAAAGTACTAATACCACACTGTAAAAATACTCTGTAAAGTACTATGTCTTTCTATCTCCAGGCAGTTACCAGGTTTATTCTGTGTATCCACCCAGCTACGTCAAGGATACCATCGACCCAAACAGCTTCAATAGCAGCCTCTACACTCCCACTGCACCTGACAACAAGCCCGGCCTCACCACGGAGAACCAGAACCAGAGTATTCTCCACCAGACCGGTGGATCGATCAGTGTCAACCAGACTTTAAGGAAGCTGGTTGAAACATTGGCCTTCAGCAACATCAGCAGTCAAATACACAGAGAACGCCTGAACAATGCAGTGCCGTACTGTGACAGGACTGTGTACCTCTTTGCTTTCTGGACCACCACGCTGCTCTATGTGTTCACAGCAAATGCCCTGGGGATGATCATCTGTTTATACGGTGTCATGAAAATTACTGATAAGTTTATAAAACTCCTTGGTATGTGAACTGAGCTGCAGAGACGTTTAAACTGTCACTCTGTGGTGGGTTTGTAGAAAGGAGTTGGCTCAGTCATCTTTTGGCTGAGTGAATAAATAAGTAAGCTTTGTAATGAAATGTTGGGACTTTGTCTGTAAATACAGTGTGAAGGTCACTCATAATTCTGAATAAGACCCAGTACAAAGCCCCTGTCATCTCTCCTCTTTTAATAATCCTGTTGTAACAACTACTTTAAAGATCTGTGATTCTCGAATGATGGGAAATGTATTAACAGGAGTTATAAAAGATTATTCTTGGTTATTTTCATATCTCTGTTTTCTATTTTAACAGCATAGAGAAAAACATCCTTTTCTTTGTATTATAAATACCCTGCTGTCCCTGAGGTAAAGGAGACCCACTGTGAGATTTGATGTGGTACCTGATGGGATAAGTTTCAGTTTGAGATGAATCCCTGCATTTAGCAGTTTGGAAACTATTTAACATTATTTAGTTGATTTTGTTAGTGCTCTTCAAAGTCTCCAATTTATATCTGAACAGAAAACCAAAAAAACTCTACAGTTATAGCAACATGTATTCTGTTTTGAATATAAATGTATTTATATTTAATAGTCATTGTGTTTTTATATGTGTTTATGTTCCTGGTCCCTTTCCTGTTCTGTAAATTGTATATTTTTTGTATGGCTTAATATAAATTGGGCTTTAATTTAGCTCCATCTAGTGGAAAACACATGGAATTGCAATAACAAACTGCAGTTTGCCGTTTCTAAGGAATGCTCTATGTGAACATTTTCTGTTTGAGCACTTAGGCTCAGTGTGTGAATGCAGATGTAGTGTAAAAGCGCTTTGAGTGGTCGAAAAGACTGGAAAGGTGCTATACAAATACAGAGCATTTACATGTTCTCATGTTAATGTTATTAATTAACATCTATATACATTATACCATGTGAAATGTATTTTATTAATAACAAATCAAAATTATTCTAATTGTATTAATGTGCCAGTAAATGTTAAATTTTTATATAGAGCTACGAGGCGAGCTCTCTTTTTTTGGAAATACAGAAACTTAAACATGTAAACTCCACAGATGAGTATCACTTACAATTTAACATTGCCATGAATTAAATCAAGGACATCTGCATCCAGGTAATGGAACCCCCTGACTGGTACCAGCTGCTCTAACTGGAGAGTCTTCTGTAAGGAGCTCCATGTTGAGGGTGCACAATATGAAAGGGCAATTCTTCCTAATTTGGAAACAACCCAGGGGACTTTTAAAAACAGCACCTGCTGGACAGTGTTTGTAATTACTGACTGCAAAGTTAAGGAGGCAACAAAGATGATTTAGTAATTTGCAGAGATGATACTGCATGCATGAACAACAGATCCCCACAGTTAGTCACAGATGAAGATGCAGCTTGAACATGTTTCTTTCCAGCTTTGGAGGGGAAACTTGTAACGGAAATAAAAAACAATATGTACACCAAAAGCTAACATATCATCCATCCACATACCAAGGTAACATGTTCCCCTTTCAATGGCTGCCCTTCAGTGACATGAAAAAACAAACATCACATGTCTGTGTAGAGTTGTGTAATATTTTTTTATTTTTATTTATTTATTTTTTTTTAAACCTGTCCTGCACAGCAGCCTGGTATAGAGTATAATGACCTGGATACCATATTGTGCCAGACAGATTTTACTTTAACAAGAGAGTATTAAAATACTCCTTTGTCTGTTTTATTATTTATTTAATTATGTATTGATTTGTCACTGGGCCGGACAGGGGGGCAGACACGGGGATGGGGGGGCACAAACAGACAGCACAGAGAAAGGACAACACCTGCAAGAGAAGGGGGAAAGGGGGATGGAGGGTGGGGACAACAGGGAAAAGCTGTGGGAAACACCAATTGCAGAAAGCAACAGAGAGGGGGGCTTGGGGAGGAGAAAAACAACAACAAACAAACACAAACAAAAAAAACAATAAAAATAATAATAATAGTAAAAGAAAACCAGCCGAACAGCAGCAATAAACAGCTGACATATTAATGACATATTAAGACAACTAAGAGAACAATGAAAACAAGAAACAGTCACACACACTAAATAAGCAACACAACACAGCCACGAGAGCTGGAATAATAATTAATTTAAATAAGTAACTGAAAGAAAGGCATCAGGAATAATTCTACCAGGGACAACCTAAGTTTGTTTGTGTCTGTGTGTGTCTGTGTGCGTGTGGGTGAATGTGTCTGTATGTGTGTGTATGTACATGTGTGTGCGCATAAGCCTGTTAAAGAATGTAGTTGTTAGAGAGAGTGGGACGCCACGACTGTAACAGGCAGGCAAGAACCCCAGTAGCCAATAGGGGTGGAAGAAAGAAAAAGAATAAATCAAATCAAAAAAAAACAAAGACTCCCAGATGCACCGCGATGCAAACGCAGAAGACCCCGACCCAAATGCCAGTTGACAACGTAATGCCGACGGAACGCAAAAGAGGAAGATATGTGTAATAATTTATTAACCATTTTATTTTTCATTTTCATAAGTAGGGTGTTATTTTTCAATTAGTTATTGTTGACAAATCTCACTTTTTCACCATCAACATGACAGAATATTTCAGTGCAGACGAAGAAATTTCCTGCAATAAATAAGAAAACAATCAGGCAGCAACCAGAAGAAATGGTAGTAAATGAAGACACCATAAGATCCAGCTCCCTTCAAAGAGCCATGATTCCCATTACTAGTTTTCTTGTGGCTATCTGGGAAGTCTGCATTGTGTATATATACATACATTATGTATATGATGCCTCTTAAATTTCTTCAAATGGATGCAATCACTAACAGTAACCATTGCAGATGCCACACAGCTCATTTACAGTTTAGCAGTATTTCACAGCCTGCGTTCTCTTTCTGTCCACTCAGTGAAGCTCTTTCTGCCGCTAACAACATCCATAGCTCTCTTTTGTTGCCTCCCCAAAGACATTGGTACATATTTTCAAATTAATACTCTTTTCAGGTTATAATTGAACATATTACCCAGCCAAGTGCCTAGCTGTTAATGATGAGGAGAGAGAAGAGGAGGAGCAGCAGACATCCATCATCACAGTGTTTTCTAATATCTCAGGGATCAGCGCTAGCCCGGCAGCATCTGTTCCACTGTCAGCCATATTCTCCAAGGAGGGGGAAACCCGATTATCCGAAATGACAGAAGTCTAAGTGAACTGGCTGGTTGTCAACAGGAGAGAGAACGAGCCACCAGAGTGTGTTGGCACAAAATGTTTTGATGTAAACACTTTTGAGTGCTGGCAGTTGGTGTGGGCCGTCACAAAGCTAGAAAGCCATTAACATGTTGAGTTTTGCTGCTAATGTTCATTTGAGGAGCATCTGCTTGGTTTCATCAGGGCCTGCAGGGCGCGCTGACTTCCCAAACAGTACTTGTTTGACTTGACAAACTCTTCAAAGTCAAGTCAGTCAGTCAGTCAACTTCTGCGTCTCACAGGTGGTTCAGGATATAATGGTCTGTTTTATGGCATTGCAGTGTAGCTTTTGACATAGTTTCAACATACTGGAGTGTTTTGGACTCTGGTCTTGGAGGCCTTGGTGTCCATACCTCTGCACCCTAAGCCACACTCCACCCTTCAGGATATGCTTCCTCATGTACATACAGCCCGGAATATCAAGTGACCCAAGGAAGTAATCAAGAGAGAGCATCAATGCGAGTCAGACCACCCTCTTTCACAACGTTGGAGAGTTGGATCTGGTGCTGCCCCCAGGAAAGTAAACGAATTCAGTGATACCTCCTAGTTAAGGTTTGGTATAGACTGTCTATACATCCATCCAACGCGAGGGGTTGCCCCGGGTCAACTTCCAGTCCTATGTGTCCAGAAAACTGATAAGGAAACTTCCTTATTAGATGCCTGATCTACTTTCACTGGCTTGCTTGCTAAAGAGAGGTTGCAGGACACATATCACAGTCTCTGTCACAAGCTTTGCACACCCAAACAACTACCACAATGTCAACCAAAAGCACTAACATCCAAAGCTGACCTGCAAAAGTTTTCATCAGCAGGGTTTGCTAATAAGTTGCTTGCATTTGTATGATTAAAGCTTATGATGATTACCTGTCAAGGTTAAAATTTTGCCCAAGTGATGAAGGTGACAACTGGTTTATAGACTTCAGCCCAGAGCTAAATGTGGCGGCACAGCTTATCTTACTAATTTCCTCACTGTCAAGAGAAATTACGACTTTTCATCCAGATACTACTTCACAGTCTATCAGTTAACATCCACAACCAGTGGTTGGAACATGTGTGCACACTTCACATCTTTCCCACTCCATATAACAAGCTTAGTTTCAGAGCCACATTTGAGGTTTATTTACAGCTAGCCTGGGGAGACCGTCTAGAGACAGAGACACATGGTACAGCAGCCTATTGTAAAGCTGTTGTGGTATGAGAAGTTTAAAAGGCCATGATTATAGACCCAGGCATTGTCATGACATCACCATGAATCACCAGAGAGAAGCATCAACAAATATTTGTTAAAACACACGTGTGGTGCCAAAATCTTGGAATTACAAGACACAACAGAACAACAGGAGCTGTTATATAATGAGGATTTCAGGGAAGTTTGTAGATATCCTAAAGGAATTCAGCAGCTCCTTTTTAGTGTGGACACTTCTTGGAAGAGGAAAAGATGGTCTGATGCCCTGCCCATGGAGACACCTTGATTTACTATACTTTATTTAATGGTAATCTTCCATCATACAACAGACTCCTTTTCTACCAGGCCGTCAATGAACAATTATACGTACTTACACTGTAAGACAACGACACCTGAGATCTATTTTCATATTTAATTTTTTAAACAACCTAAAACACAAAACACATATTTGAATATTTCCCACAGTTTATTAGCATCTGGTTGGTTTTAATTAAATGGTAATATTTACACGTTTCGACTGATCCAACAACTTCCAACTGAATCCAACATTTAATTCTCAATCAACAACCTTTCCTCAACAACAACAGAAGAGGAATAAGAAAAGATGCTTGTGTACATCGGCACCAAGTTCCGTGTGACTGCTGGAGAACATTGTTCTGCATGCAGGTCAACAACAGCCTTACAGTCCAGCAGCAGCTTGCAGTATCAGGCTATGTAGTTCCTCAAGTACACCAGTCTGTGAGGTTGGAACTTCTCCCGACACAGGGGGCACTCCGCCTGTAAAAACACACGTGACAGATTGTTGCACAAAACGTATTGGTTTTTATTATAAATGAAAAATAAACAAATGCTGGGCTTTCACCTCATCAAGGTCTGGTAGAAGGGCTGTGCGATATGACAAATTCATATCCCGATACCGGTAATTTCATATCCCAATAACAATATATATCCCGATATAGAAATTTTTTTGTAAATTCAAAGAAATATGACATTTCTGTAACTCAGCAGGTGTGGAAGAACGGACCCTGGTGAAGTTAGTTTCAAGTTGGATATTAGTTTTGGATATTAGTCAACATATTAGCTTTTAAGGCCCATTTATACTCCTGTGTAGGGTCTACATGCGTACCTACGCCGTAGGCTACGCACGTAGCCATGTATTTATACTTGTGCGTAGGTCTTTCCGTCATTCTGCAATTACACCCCCAAACAATAGTCGACAGTATCGCTACAGCGTCCACTGTGTTGACTTTTGCCGGCCGAGCAGGCTAACTTCCGGTTTAGCGCTCCGCTAATGTAAATGGGGGTAAAATTGTATATGTACTGCTGGTGTAGCCTTTTCAAATGTTACCGACCGAATGGATCGCATTCTGATAGTGAGTCATTTCGCTCGGGTTGCGACGATCAAATATATTGATTCGCTGTGTTACAGCCGCCGTTTTGGCCGCTAGTAAATGTTACTTTAAAGCGCGAGGTACTTCTGGTCGGCTCCAATCACAGAGCTTACGATCCGCGTCAACTCGACGTGTAGTTACATTTTGAAGGAGGTGCACGTCAGGCGACAGCGTAGCCTCTGCGCAGCCCCATAGCCTACGCCGTCACCTATGCTGTCGATTTGACGCAGAAGTATAAATTGCACCTAAGTTGGACACTTGATAGATGTCTAACTTCAACCTAACTTCATCATGGTGCAAAGCAGCGTTCCCTCACCAAAATATTGGCGACACAACGATAGAGCATAATTGTAAATGATAGACGTTTTTTTCCTATCGTCATATCACTAGGGCTGTCGCGGTGAAGTAATTTCCCCCGCAGTAATATCTTGGGGCTCAACAGCACAGTATACAGTATTATCACATTTTTCATTAATGAAGTAATTTGGTGCCATATAGAATTACTATTCTATATGGCACCAGAGTGTCTGTGGATCTCACCTCACTGCACAGCGAGCCGCCAACAGCAGCTTTATGGTTGGAGCAAGATAGCTGCTGGGTCAACAACATACTGTTCATTTCTCTCGACTGTCCCTCAGTATCATAACATCGCCGAGCCTCCAAGATACATTAGCTACGCAATATGCTAATGCCAAGTTAGCTAACCTTTAAAATAAACAGTAAAACACAAAACACGGCAACACTTACAGCTTCCAAGTTTGAAGTCAGGTCACGTACAGCCCATGGCGATCCGTCCTTGACCAGTAACTGAGCTTGTTACACTTTTGAAGCACTAATTTATTCATTTAACACGCCTTGAAGTGTAAAGTATGAAGTTTGCGATTGTTGGGGTGCTTGCCATCATCCGCGGGAGGCTTGACTAATAGCGCAGTATTTAAATTTTGTGAAAATATTTCCTGTTTAGTTAAGATAAATGTTTCTGTAGTTTCTACAGCATGTGGATTCTCGGTGCACTCTCAATATAATCTGTGTAAACGGGCAAGATTAACCTGCCAGAGGACCCTGGGCCCCCAAGTAATCAGTTTTCTACAGTGTTTTCTATGGTGGGATTCTGCCTGGTTTCAGATTTGCTCTGTGGTAATAAGATAAAAAACTAATAGGTTTAAGAATATGCAAGAAAACCTATGCGAGCAAACACTAAATCTGACTGACTATAATAAATCACAACAACATAAACTACTAAACCTTCTGCGTGGGTTGTAATAGAACTGGTTTGGGGGAATATTTAGTAGATGTAAGACAAACGAGCAACATCTCCAGATGATCCTGGTATTGTTAATGAATTCCCAACAATGAATTATGTGGTACAGTTTGGTGCAACAGATTCAAAACAAGAGCCTGACCTTGGTGTTGCACCACTCTGTGATGCACTCCCAGCAGAAGAGGTGTCCACAGGGGGTGGAGGTGGAGTGTCTCCTATCCTCCAGGCATAGGATACACCGGGCGGCTCTGGGGTCCGAGCTCCGTGTGCACTGAGGGCTGGAGACAGACAAGGGATCAGCATTGAACTCGTGTTTTTCATGTTGGTCTTTACTACCAAAAGTCCAGCATGGTTCCTCTCCGGGAACCATCACCTTATCGTGGTGGAGAGGTTTGTGTGCCCCGGTGAACCTGGAGGCTGTGTTGTCGGGAGCTTAGTGCTCCTGGTAGGGTCTCCCAAGGCAAAGTGGTTCCAGGTGAGGGGCCAGACTGAGAATGGTTCACAAAGACCCTTGATGAAAAATCGAGGAAGAGGAGGAGAGACCCTGCCCGGAGGAAGCCCGGGGCCCCCGTCTGGAGCCAGGCCCAGAGGGAGGGCTCATCGGCGAGCACCTGGTGGCCGGGTTTGCCACGGAGCCCGGCCGGGCTCAGCCCGAAGAAGCAACGTGGCACCCCCCTCTCCATCCTTTGGACCCACCATCCATCGGAAGATCCGCAGGGCGACGAACCAGACCCGGGCGGCAGAGGCTGGCTCTGGGGACGTGGAACGTCACCTCTCTGTGGGGGAAGGAGCCGGAACTTGTGCGGGAGATGGAGCGCTACCAATTAGATCTGGTGGGGCTGACCTCCACGCACAGTCTCGGTTCTGGAACCGTACTCCTTGATAGGGGATGGACACTATTCTTCTCTGGAGTTGCTCAAGGTGTGAGGCGCAAGGCGGGTGTGGGGATACTCACAAGTCCCCGGCTGAGCACCGCTACGTTAGAGTTTACTCCGGTGAACGAGAGGGTTGCCTCCCTACGCCTTCGGGTACTGGGGGGGAAAACTCTGACTGTTGTTTGTGCATATGCACCAAATAGCAGTTCAGAGTATTCGACCTTCTTGGAGACCCTGAATGGAGTTCTGTATGGGGCTCCAGTAGGGGACTCCATACTTCTGCATAGACTTCAACGCGCATGTGGGCAATGATGGAGATACCTGGAAAGGCGTGATTGGGAGGAACGGCCCCCCTGATCTGAACCCGAGTGGCTGTTTGTTGTTAGACTTCTGTGCTAGTCATGGATTGTCTATAACGAACACCATGTTCGAGCATAAGGATGCTCATAAGTGTACATAGTACCAGAGCACCCTAGTCCGAAGATCAATGATCGATTTTGTAATCGTTTCATCTGATTTGAGGCCGCATGTTTCGGACACTCGGGTGAAGAGAGGGGCAGAGCTGTCAACAGATCACCATCTGGTGGTGAGTTGGGTCAGGGGGTGGGGGAAGACTCTGGACAGACCTGGTAAGCCCAAACGGGTAGTGCGGGTGAACTGGGAACGTCTGGAGGAGGCCCCTGTCCGTGAGATCTTCAACTCAAACCTCCCGCGGAGCTTTTCTGGCATCCCTGTGGAGGTTGGGGACATTGAACAGGAGTGGGCAATGTTCAAAACCTCTATTGCTGAAGCTGCAGCGGAAAGCTGTGGTCTCAAGGTCTTAGGTGCCTCAAGGGGCGGTAACCCTCGAACACCGTGGTGGACACCGGTGGTCAGGGAAGCCGTCCGACTGAAGAAGGAGGTCTTCCGAGATTTGTTGTCTCGGAGGACTCCGGAGGCGGTTGCAAGGTACCGATGGGCCCGAAGGACTGCAGCCTCTGCTGTGGCAGATGCAAAGCAGTGGGTGTGGTAGATGCTCGGAGAAGACACGGAGAAGGACTTTCGGTCGGCACCAAAGTGTTTCTGGAGAACTGTCCGCCATCTCAGGAGGGGGAAGCGGGGAACCGTCCAAAGCTGTGTACAGTAAGGATGGGAGCCTGCTGACCTCAACTGGGGAGGTAATTGGGTGGTGGATGGAACACTTTGAGGAACTCCTAAATCTGACTGACACGCCCTCTTTAGTAGAGGCAGAGCTCGAGGCTGATGGGGGATTCTCGTCAATTTCCCTGGTGGAAGTCACTGAGGTAGTCAAACAACTCCACAGTGGCAAAGCCCCAGGGATTGATGAGATCCGCCCAGAAATGCTAAAAGCTTTGGGTGTGGAGGGGCTGTCTTGGATGACACGTCTCTTTAACATCGCGTGGAAGTCGGGTACAGTGCCCAAGGAGTGGCAGACTGGGGTGGTGGTTCCCCTGTTCAAAAAGGGGGACCAGAGAGTGTGTGCCAATTACAGGGGTATCACACTTCTCAGCCTCCCCGGTAAAGTCTATTCCAGGGTGCTGGAAGGGTTCGGCCGATTGTCGAACCTCAGATTGAAGAGGAACAATGCGGTTTTCGTCCCGGTCGTGGAACAACTGACCAGCTCTTTACTCTCACAAGGATCCTGGAGTGGGCTTGGGAGTATGCCTATCCAGTCTACATGTGCTTTGTAGATCTGGAGAAGGCGTATGACCGGGTCCCCCGGGAGATACTGTGGGAGGTGCTGCGGGAGTATGGGGTGAGGGGGGCCCTTCTCAGGGCTATCCAATCCCTGTACATCCAAAGCGAGAGCTGTGTCCGAGTACTCAGTAAGTCGGACTCTTTCCAGGTGAGGGTTGGCCTTCGCCAGGGCTGCGCTTTGTCCCCTATCCTATTTGTGATATTCATGGACAGGATATCGAGGCGTAGTCATGGCGAGGAGGGGCTGCGGTTCGGGGGGCTTGGGATCTCGTCACTGCTTTTTGCGGATGATGTGGTCCTGATGGCATCATCGGTCCGTGACCTTCAGCTCTCACTGGATCGGTTCGCAGCCGTGAGTTGAATATTTTCAACTCAAGCGAGAAATACGCATGATGCTGAGTCGCGATAGCCTATCAACGTTGAAATTGTCTGTACATCCCCGACGGCTTCAGAGCGTTGTGTGGAGAAGGGCAGGCAGAGCAGGAGATTGAAAATCTGCGGGCAGATGAAGAGCTGCTAAACTTGGGAGAGGAGCAGGGAGCAGCACTCCAGCTTTTGGAAAAAAAACACCCGTAGTTGGACTGGATTATGCTCTGACAACTACGCCGTTTGCTCGCGGGAGGAGCTCAGAGTAAACTGCTTTTATTAAATTAGCTTTTCACTTTGGTTTTTGGGATTACAACGTTGATTTTTTTCAAGCTTCTCAGCAGCTAGATTCCGTGCACATCCAGTGTTGTTAGCGTCGTTTGGCACTACTTCATATTTATATCAAAACTGGACATTGCTGGGAGAAAAGAAAGCGAGGAGGTTGAACTACCTGGTGAGTCCAGAAAACATGTGTATGTAACTTTATTCCAGCTATAGCTGTACTTTACTGTGACCAAAATAGCATAGCCCTGATCAATCCGAACTCCATTCAGAAAACAAACATTTTAGAAGTTGTTGTCCTGCTGTCTTGCTGACAGACCTGACAAAGCATGAATTCATATGTTTAACAAATCTGCATCATGTTGTAGTTATTTCGGCATCAGTTTGACCCGTTTATTGCTATTTAATCACAGCAAATTGTTTACTTTGGGTTCACGCAGTTGTAGTAACGGTGAGTTGTGTTTATTCCGGGTTTATTCGCGTTATTGCGTTGTGTGTGAACACTCAGCAGTTGTCCAGCGATAAAACCCCCGTGAGGAGAGCGTTGGGTGGATTAAATTCACATTTGGTCTGAATGCCGCATAAGGGGCCAGCTTTACACATCTCCAGGTTTGTGCGTCAGTCTTGGTTGAGTACCTGAGGTTCCTGTAGTGCTTCCACTCCTGCCTTGCCCTCTGTCTCTGCCTAAAGTTGTTGAGCTGCAGACACACAGTGATGAGCAGCTGGACGAGGGACACGGCCCCCAGGAGCCTGTAGCTGCTCCGGATCATCCCGTCATCACGGTTCAGACCCGTCACACCCAGCTACACACAACACACACGCGCGCACACACACACGCACACATATATATAGGAAAATATTAAAAATATTAAATGTATTCAAGCCAAGCAGAAGATTTTGATGCGAAGCAAGTTTTAAATGCTTCTAGAAATGTAAATCTAACACATAAATAGTTCTGATCTACCAGAAAAGGTATTGCCACTTCCCAGCGCACACAAGCTCAGTGTCCAGTTTATTAGGTACACGTAGCTAAAACATCTGATACAACCATCCTCCTTCATGATGGTTGTGATGTTCAGCTTGTGATGAAACTGTCACGTTTGATTCCACTGCCAGTTTGTGCTTCTGTTTAATTGTGTTGTGTTTTACTTTGAGGTGTTCTGCCTCAGTGATATCAATGTGACATAATATTAGACTGCACTAGTATTAGCTAGGTGTACCTAATAAACAGGCAATTGAGTATATCTTAACACTGGAGGTTTCTTGCATTAAATAGTGACATTAGAGGTAGCAATCTGTCCTACAGACAGTTAATCATTACTGTGTACTCCATCCTGGCAGCCTGCCTGCTCAACAACTGGTAAACTAATTAACTTCCTCCTGACAGGAACAAAATGTTAAAAAGCTGGAAAACAACAAACAGGATATATTTAGCAGAAACATGATGGGAGGAAGTGGAGTTAATTATAAATAAAAATTATTTGATAACACTGTTTGGGAAGTCTGTTGAATAAAATCAACACGGTGTTCTTATGATTGTAAGTACATATGCAGTGTTTTGGAGTGAATGCATGTGAGTATGTAAGCTGCCTCTATAGGGAAGTACCTCCTCAAGTGAATAATTGAATGTTTTTAAAGGCTGAACTGAACATTGCTCATTGGTTATTAAAGATCCCATTAAACGGGCACTTGAACTTGCTGGAAAGCTGCTACTTAGAAAACATCACACACCACAGTGGTGACCTCAAGATGCACTAAAGTGTGTAACTAGAAAACCCAACCAATAAAATCAACATAATTTCTAACAATCCTGACCGTTTGCTTGTCTTTTCAAATCAAACTGCCTTTCCCTTCATAACTCCCGCACTAAGCAGCAAATACATCATGCACATGTATTTAGAGGGCTGGGAACGTTGACGCGTTATTATCACATTAACGCACCCACTTATCGCTACACCCTGTGCTCGACCACTTCACCTCAGTCTAACAGGGAAACTTGATACTGATTGAACATATAGGTGCTGGTCATATAATTAGAATATCATCAAAAAGTTTATTTATTTCAGTAATTCCATTCAAAAAGTGAAACTTGTATAATGTATACATCCATTCCACACAGACTGATATATTTCAAGTGTTCATTCCTTTTAATTTTGATGATTATAACTGACAATTAATGAAAACCCCAAAATCAGTATCTCAGAAAATTAGAATATTGTGAAAAGGTTCAATATTGAAGACACCTGGTGCCACACTCTAATCAGCTAATTAACTCAAAACACCTGCAAAGGCCTTTAAATGGTCTCTCAGTCTAGTTCTGTAGGCTACACAATCATGGGGAAGACTGCTGACTTGACAGCTGTCCAAAAGACAACCATTGACACCTTGCACAAGGAGGGCAAGACAAGGTCATTGCTAAAGAGGCTGGCTGTTCACAGCGCTCTGTGTCGAAGCGCATTAATAGAGAGGCGAAGGGAAGAAAAAGATGTGGTAAAAAAAAAGTGTACAAGCAATAGGGATAACGGCACCCTGGAGAGGATTGTGAAACAAAACCCATTCAAAAATGTGGGGGAGATTCACAAAGAGTGGACTGCAGCTGGAGTCAGTGCTTCAAGAACCACCACGCACAGACGTATGCAAGACATGGGTTTCAGCTGTCGCATTCCTTGTGTCAAGCCACTCTTGAACAAGACACAGCGTCAAAAGTCGCCTGGGCTAAAGACAAAAAGCACTGGACTGCTGCTGAGTGGTCCAAAGTTATGTTCTCTGATGAAAGTAAACTTTGCATTTCCTTTGGAAATCAAGGTCCCAGAGTCTGGAGGAAGAGAGGAGAGGCACAGAATCCACATTGCTTGAAGTCCAGTGTAAAGTTTCCACAGTCAGTGATGGTTTGGGGTGCCATGTCATCTGCTGGTGTTGGTCTGAGGTCCAAGGTCAACGCAGCCGTCTACCAGGAAGTTTTAGAGCACTTCATGCTTCCTGCTGCTGACCAACTTTATGGAGATGCAGATTTCATTTTCCAACAGGACTTGGCACCTGCACACAGTGCCAAAGCTACCAGTACCTGGTTTAAGGACCATGGTATCCCTGTTCTTATTTGGCCAGCAAACTCGCCTGACCTTAACCCGACAGAAAATCTATGGGGTATTGTGAAGAGGAAGATGCGATACGCCAGACCCAACAATGCAGAAGAGCTGAAGGCCACTATCAGAGCAACCTGGGCTCACATAACACCTGAGCAGTGCCACAGACAGATGGACTCCATGCCATGCCGCATTGCTGCAGTAATTCAGACAAAAGGAGCCGCAACTAAGTATTGAGTGCTGTACATGCTCATACTTTTCACGTTCATACTTTTCAGTTGGCCAACATTTCTAAAAATCCTTTTTTTGTATTGGTCTTAAGTAATATTCTAATTTTCTGAGATACTGAATTTGGGATTTTCATTAGTTGTCAGTTTTAATCGTCACAATTAAATGAAATAAACATTTGAAATATATCAGTCTGTGCGTAATGAATGAATATAATATCCAAGTTTGACATTTTGAATGGAATTACTGAAATAAATCAACTTTTTGATGATATTCTAATTATATGACCAGCACCTGTAGACTGTTTATGCTGATACCCGTTAAGAAAACTCCGATGGTAACTTGTTTTAACAAGCTAAATAAAAGCTAATGCCCTGGCAGTGGCAAATAGCTTTGGTCTAATATTTGATTTCATTAATGTTGAGATTTACAAGAAATATTTTATTGCTACTGTGTAAAGGGAATACTGCTGGTAAAAAGCACCTTATTTGTTTTTAAGTGTTTACAAACCACATGTTATTGCACTTTTGTGTATATAGCTGTACATTTAAATTAAAATGCGCAATACGCCATTTTAGAATTTATTTATTCATTCAAGTGACGTGTGAATGCAGACATGGATAAATACTCTATATGGACAAAAGTATTGAGACACACTGCTTAATCATTGAATTCAGGCGTTTCATTTAGTCCCATTTGGCACAGGTGTATAAAATCAAGCACCTAGACTTGGAGTCTGCTTTTACAAACATTTGCAAATTAAATTTAGTAGGGGAGGGAAAATGCGATGGGGTGTTTTTGTGGGGTTGGGCTCAGCCCCTTAGTTCCACTGAAGGTACACATTAATGCCCCAGCTTACCAAGACATTTTGGAGAATTCTAAGCTTCCAACTTTGTGGAAACAGTTTGGGGAATGTCATTTTCTGTTCCAGCGTGGTTGGAGGAGTTTGGTGTGGAAGAATTTATCCCGCCCACACAGAGCCCTGACCTCAACCCTATTCAACACCTTTGGAATGAAGAGTGGAGATTGCGTGCCAGGCCCTCTCGTCCAGGATCAATATATGACCTCATAAATGGATGAACGGGAAAAAATTCCCACTCTAAAATCTTCTCAGAAGAGTGGAAGCTGTAAAGGGGGACCAACTGCATATTAGTGCCTATGGATTTAGAAGGAGATGTCATAAAAGCTCCTGTAATGTAGAGGGGTGTCCCAATATTTTTACGCTGCATGTCAATGTTTGGCTGGGCCTACTTTTGTCCTTGTCATTTAAAAAATTAAATATAAATATTACTTTTATAATATATATATATATATGATAACCTACATAGCTGATGCCAGCCGCCCTCTTGGACAGGTGATAGAACGAGCCTTTGATGTAGAACAGAGCCACATGGAGTCTGTGCAGGAGGGTCAGACCTTGCTGGAGGACGAACACAGCCGGCAGGCACACTCTCCTCTGGGGCTCCGACAGCAGCCCCACTGCCCTCCGCATCCTGCTCCTCAGCCAGCGCTCAAGGCTCCACGGCCCGGACGCAGCCTGCCGCCAACTGAGACCTCCACGGCTCTCCTGCCCACCTTCCAGCTCGTTCTCCAGGCACACCAGGACCTTATCCAGGAGGTAAGGAAAGGCGGCGTGGCAGACGACAAAGAGGCCTCGTCTGAACCCTGAGGGGATGTGACATTTAGTGGGATCCACTTGCACGATGCTGACGTACTCTTCGCCCAGGGTTTGGTAACCTGAGGAGAAGGATGTAAACCATGTAATCACAAGACAACTAGTTAAACAGACACAAGCAAAGTTAGACCTCATACTGGTTTGGTCTGTAACTACCTGAGAATGTTGTTAAACTGTAGTATGCAAGGTCTGACAGCAGCTCGATCTCTCTCCTCCAGTCCAGCCATCTTTTGGACCCTACAGAGAAAGCAAGAGAGAAATAAATCAACGTTCAACGATCTTTTAAATTGAGAGTAGGTGCCGAGGTTCCTATCACAGACCACAGACTCATGAACAAACAGTTGCTTTTTAACTTTGGCATGAAAAATTTGCTTTTATTTGGATGATAACCAGCTCATCTATTGCTGTAAAAGTAACATAACTAATTAATTAAGTGCCCTGTCTACATTTAAAAAACAAAACTAGTCTTGAAAAGCAGTGAGACCAAGCAGATGAGGTGAAACTTCACATTTCAATCAAATAACTAACTGACTAGGTACATTACATTTTATCCGAATTGATGAGGGACTGGAAAGTGTCCCAACTATGTTTTGTAATCAGTGACCAAAGAAAAAGTGTCATCATTTGGGGGAGTTGTGTATTAATTATTAAGACTAGGAACTGCACCTCGTTAGCTCTAAAGCTAACGTTACATGTTTAAAGTGAAGTAAGCTACCTAAAAGAAGAGTAATGGTGATGTTCCAGTGTGTTAAACTTAAAAAAAAAACTCACCAGCAAGTGTTTGAAAAGCTTCGTTGGCGTTGTTTCTCAGGAAGGTTTGATAATATTCGTCCTTCTGACTGGACCGGATCAGCTGGGATTGGTTTGCAGGAGCGAGGGGCATCGTGAGCTAGCATTAGAGCTAATTTCAGATGCTAACGTTGCCAAAACAAGTTACACATAGTAGAATATTTACATCCACTGGCTGAAGTGTTTCAGTCGGATGAAACCTTCGAGTAGACCTCTAACCTTCACCCTCACGGCAGGTTGTCAGTCAAGTAGAGTGCTAACTTGCATGTAGCTACAAACTGCTAAATGTTTATATTAGCCAACAAGCTAACCGAGCTAATATCTTGTGTTCCTGTACTCTGCTTACTCTTGAATATGCACTAATATTTCCGTTATAAAAGTCAAATGTTTTTGCACGTAGATAAATCTAGAGCCGTTAAATAAGGTATCATTTATATATATTTATATCATATTTACCGGCTGTGGCTAAATCCTGGAAACACACCGGAAGCTGATGCCCTGAAAACAAACGATACTGAATATCAAGAGCGATACCTGCTGGTAGGAGGCGGAATTACAACCAGAAAGCCAGGCGCAATCCCAATGTCCCCCCTAAACCCTAAGCCTTGAACCCTCACAGACTTTACTGACATCACTTGGAAAGGATAGATAGGTTTAAGAGGCTGCAAGGCCTCAAAATGCTGTAAACAGGAACGTGACAGACACTTTATCACGTTACCTTGACGACGCTGAAATACGTTGCACACTTTTTATTTTATGTTTTTGCCTTATTTTTAAGTCCTGCAGGCTCTCGTCCTACAGAGTGGTGGAGAGGTAGCCTAAATGTCAATATATATTTGTAATTAATCAATACACTATTTTTGGTCAAATAGCATCATTAAGCAAAAACTAAAATAAATAGTTGAATAAACTAAGTGTGTAATAAGGTGATTGCATTCCTCTGACTTCATGTGTTCTATGCACCATCTTAAGTTAAGAAAACTTTCAAAAATTTTAACATCACCGTATGTGTCAATGCTTGTTTGTTTAATGTTTTCTTATAACGCGGATTTGCCGTGATACTTCTCTCGCTTCCGGGCTTCCCCTGGTAACCCCTGTGTTTCACGTCATACCGTATTTTCTGTAAAAGCTCGGCTATATGTTGTTTAAAAAAGTAATGAAAAAGTAATTAAATATTATAAGTTATATTACTTTGATAAAGTAATTTAAATAGTTACACTACCATTACATTTTAAAAGGGTAACTTGTAATCGATAACCTATTACATTTCCAAACTAGTCTTCCCAACACAGGTGATATTAAGATTTAATATTTGAAAAGCAATTAACCTTTCATCTCATAATCTGTCTTTGAACTTTGAAGTAATTAATACATAATCCAGTTTCTAATTGTTTCTCTTGTCTTCAGAGTGACATGTTGTGTGTTTTTATTCTGATTTTACTTGATTTCATTTTCATTTTCCACTGTGGTTTTATTCCAAGATCATAAGAAACTAAAAAACAGCAACATATTTAGTCACGAGTTCCAGTTTCTTAATCAAATTTTGGATTTTTTATATTTTACTCATTAAGTTAACTGCTAAATTAACTGCAATTTGTACTTTGTGTGCATTATATTTCCCAACCTAAAGGTCTAAATGGTATTTGAGAAATGCCGATACCTGGAATCAACTTACCCACCATGAGTTTTTAAGTGTAGATTAGTAGTAGTATTAGTAAAATCTGTGAGCAGAGATTTCTGTGCTGACTTTCTTGCACATACACTGATAGATGACCGGTGATGTGGAACTCATCACTGTATTTTTTATCAACATGTGGGATGGGCTTCTCTTCTTGTGGGTGTGCGAGAAACACGCTCTATTGTTAATCTACAAAATGCTTCTTTTACAACTTCCTCCATATATATCATCCTTAATTTTCACTATACAAATACAAGTGGATTAGAGCCTCCTCCACTGAGTTGGGTAGGACTGCTTACGGAATTAAAAAAATTATGGAGGATCGATATGATTTTATGTGTACATGTTAACATGTTTACACAAGGGACAGCCTAAAAAGACACCCAGGTCTGTTTTCACCCGTTAAAAAAAGATAAAATAATCTCTGTGACATAATATCGGCCGATATATTGTCCTGAACTGTTTTCATTCAGTTAACTGCAGTGTTGCAGTGACGGCCACAAACACAGCAGCTACTGTACAGGTTGCTACAAGGCCCCGTTCTACCTGTGCGAGGGGATTAAGTACATTCATTCATTCAGCTCTGCTGGGATCTGCCTGGAAAGTTGCAGAACCAGTTTCTTTGTCTCCTCCGCGCTGCTCTTTGAGCCATCTGGGTGTAACTATAACCGCTACGTATCTCATTATAAACCTACTCCTGTCCTTTTACAGCCAGCCTTTTCTCAGCACTTGTATCCACCCTTGGACAGTCTGTCCCTCCATCCTGCACACCAGGAAGCTGAACTTTGCTCTCAGTGAGGGGAGGAGCTGGGCTTTTCCCTTACCTCCTGCCTTTAACTTAGGAGCTGCCTATAACTTGATAAAGAAGGAAGGTGGATGTTGTGTGAAGCACTTTGCTGCTTGGACTAAAACACTACGAGCACACGGGGAAAGTCTGGGATTTGGACAGGTAAGACACAAACCTGACTGTCTGCATGTTGTTTGACATTGAAACTGTAGTGGTTGTTGGCTGAGCTGGTTTGAAGGCATCAGCCTGTATAAGATTTGGAAGGCTGATAACGCTTCGTGACCACAGCTGCTGGACTTTATTTTAACTTGTTTTAAATTGGACCTTTTGTTGTCCTCGTTCAGACTCCTCAGAACATCCCCCTTAAGTTAATCCTGGTTAGACAAGAGAAAGGTAGTTATCACAACAGTAACAGAAATCATGGCTTCCAATACACACCTGCTGTGTCTTTGCTGAATATCTCTATTCCACGTAGACATAAATATATTAAAAACCGATATTATATACGGCTATTTTTGTACAAATATATAATACTACTTTTAGTAAGGAGCTACTTTCTACTGATAATTTGACGATAGTGAACATTATTATTGTATTGTTAGTTTGAAACTTAATGTTTTCACATATGAATACCATTTATATAAACATGTGAAATAAAACCATATGTATGATGTGGTAACTCATACGAATAGATGTACGTGTATACTGTATAATCTGAATTTATCACAAAGGAAATTGTGTTTCACATGTGAAATTATTTTTTTCACATAGCTATATATTCACAATTGTAGTGATCTTGTTTTTTAAACAGGTCAGTATCAATATTGTTTATTGTTGCTTACATTAGTAACAATGTCACCTGTGTTAGTGAAGGTGAACTGAATACACAAGTTCAACATAACAGGAGCTGCAGAGTGTGTGTGGGAGGCACGTTGTTTGTAAAGGGACATCCTTAAAGAAAACACACACACACACACACACACAGAGCAGTGGAAGGAAGCAGGGTAAACTGAGGCGACACTTGCTGAGGAAACACAGCAAGTTGTGTCCTTAATAACCTCAGACAACATCTGTTTCAGCTGTGAAGTCAGACACACGTCATGTCTGAGATTCACGCTGAAACACACAAACTCACATAGACACGTTCCTCCAGGAGTCCTTGATGGACTGCAGGTCTCTTTCTCTTTAAAGGGGTATTATGTAGTTTCCAACGGCCGCTAGCGGTGCGGTTTTAAGATTGCTACCAGGCGTGTGCTTGTATGAACTCATGAGCGAGCATAATCCGAAACACAGCCACTTTCCTACAGAAATCCTGCAATAATAGCAGGAACACCAGCATGCTGGCTGTGGCTTTTCACACAGACATGTTCAAGCTCTCTTATTTCAGCGTTCCCGTCTCAGAGGCAGATCAACACCGGCTCTGTAACGTTACTTCATTCAGCGCAGCGAGCCGCATATCGGCACAATCCTCCTGGAAAAAAGGCAGATTGACAGCGGCTATAGACAGACAGGGAGACAGCTTCACACAATATACTGGAAACTCAGGTAAACCCCTGCTGCAACGTTACAGTAATAGTTTTATCAGCTGCAGGCTGAACTAATCCATGCTTGTTACATGATCACGGTACATTTACTGCATTTAGCTGACGTGCTACAGCGTTAGCTCGCCTGCTGCTTTCAGTAACTATCTTTACTCTCTGTGTATCTTTCACCAGAGGTTCAGCAATGTCAGCAATACATTTGTATTGGATGATAACGAAACGGGTAGTGAGCTGGACTGAATATTATAATGAGATTGTGTCACACTTTATAATAATAAGACCGCAGTAAGTAACTTTTCTGTAGTGTGAGTGCATGGCTCTTCCTCTGGGTTGTTGCCACTGTGAATTTGCAGTATCGTATATTATGTGGGTCATGTTAGTTACAGCGACAGAGAGTTACATTTATTCATTTTGAGCTTTTATCCAATCCACAATGGTGGATGTCTCACAGTGGGAATCGAACCCAGGTCTCCCCCCCTGAGTTAGAGAAGCTGTGTACCTGAGTATTGGTAAAACCACAATAAACCTAAACTGTGCGTTACGAGGCAAACAGCAGCAGGTTTGTAGCGTTAGCTGGCTGCTCCTGGCTGCATCACTATAGGCTAACGTTAGTAAACAAATCGCTCCACATTTGCTTTTTTATCATTAAATAGTAACATACTAGTAACATGGATCGCGTTAGTTGGTGAAGTAATGTGGAAAGCGATATAACTTTGCACCTGATAACATTAGCAACTGCTCGGCGTTAGCCGGCGAGCTAACATGACTTTCTCTGTGTTCCTCTGGCTAAACAACAAACAACAAAAGATAAAATAATTGCTTCTGTGATAAGATTCCAGACTAGTAAAATATTGTCTCTGATTATTATAAACCTCTGTGCAGTTTGTTGGTGTGTAAGATGCCTACAGCCTTATGGATCAGGACTTCCTGGATCGCATTTCATGTCTCACCTGTACCTGAAGCAGCACACCAACACAGCGCACCGGCATATGCATAAAACATAAAGTTAACCTAAAGTTGGCAGCTCAGAAAACACTAGTATGAATTTTGTGTGATGGTTGTGGAAGGCACAGATAAATTGTGTATTTTTGTCATTAAGTTTGGTGGAATTTCAAATTCAGTTTTCACTCAGTGGTCCCCTCAGCAGTAAGCGCTCCATGTGCAGCGCTTTAATGCTGAAAGCCTCAGGATATTTCAAAGTACATTTGAAACTCTTGTTCTGATGGTGGAACTTTCTGTAACATCCATCACAGCCACTTCATGATTGGCATGATTGGCTCTTCTCACAACTACCTCTGACAGTTTAAACATGAAGAAGTGAATGCATCACCACACCTTCGCAGAGAGACCTTCTGCAAGTTTATTCATCTTCCATCCTTTCTGATGGCTAGCTTTTGCCCCGCCTTTGAAGGATGGCTGTTTGGAACAGTCACAAACACTTAAGACGTTGTCGGATCACACATTGTAGTTAATTTGAAGCATACTGACACCTTTAAATATTTCTAGTTAGGGATGTGCGGATCGATACTGCAGGATTGATACTACAATACTATATATTGATTCCTTTAAAAAAAATAAAAAATAAAAAAATTAACACGAAACGTGAAACCTGTGTGACATGAGGACATAGATAAAACCTTTTCAAAAAAATATTTTTTTATTTTATAATTATTTATTTTATTCTTTTATTTCAACTGTCAAAACCAAGTAAAATAACCACATCAGAATCACATCCACACAGACAAAGCATTAAGACAAAATGAAAAGCAGCGGCAAGCAGACGTGCACTGTCGCAAATGTCTGCACATAACTTGTGAGAGAAAGGTACCTTAGCATGGTGTCGCTACTTTTACTTTTACATTCGCGTGTCCCAGGTGAGATATCCAGAGTTATTAAAGTTGTTGAGGTGCATGTCAGCTTGACACATTTATGTTTCATCTGCTGTGGATAATTTCCTCACCTGCAGTACCTGGGGGCGGGAAAGTCATACATCACCTGGTACAGACAGTACATGTACTCTTTCAAGGTAAATAGTATGTAGCCCTTGGCTTAGTCCCACCACGTTCTCCACACAGACTGCCTAAAGTCAGAGAACAACTGTTGTACCAAAACAAATAGGCCTGCTTCAGACAAAACACCACAGGTTAATCTAAGGTTCACAAAAAGAATAATTTATCTGGTTATTAAAGCAACATTTTACAGATTTTACATGACAAAAAATCTGTTGAGATGATGTCACCCAATACAGCAGTGAGGCTACCTGTTTTTTTGTGTGGTGTTCCTACAGAGTGTTATTCACCACTGTCGTCAATAAGAACAGCTATACATGTGCAGTTGTTATTATTACATAACTTACTAAAGCTAACAAATCGCTAACAACCAAACATCAAGCAAGTTGCACTAGTCAGCAATATTACTGACTAGTCCAATAGGAATAATGGCCAGCTCGCCGTCTGTCCTGCAGCTTTTTATGTCACGAAGCTCTCGTCAGTGTTAGGCAGTCTCTCGCTCAGTCTTTCTGTTTTTCTCTTCATCGCTTCCTTGTCAGTGTCCTCTTCGGTCTCTTCTTGCCAAACATCAAGCAACAGCAACAACACAAGACACAGCAAGCAGCTAATAAGTTATTACTGACTAGTCCAACAGAAGGCCAGCTCTCCGTCTGTCCTGCATCCTTTCAGCCAGTCCCATATTTACTCTTGTCTGGTCTCTTGCTCGGTCACTCTCTCTTTTCCACTACCTTGCTTCCTCCTTGTGTTCTTCGGTCTCTTCAGCCTCTGCCATGATATCCACACAGAGAATAACGAGCTACGTTCTTCCATTACATACTCTTCTTGTTCTTATAGCTTGCTGAAGAGTCGTGTTGGTACCGTAAAGCATTATTCCGTGGTTGTGATTAAACTTAATAGGAGCTGCAGCAAGCCCGGAAACGCAATGACAAAGACGGCATTCACCCTGTTACAGGTCACTGTACCATCAAAATGATTTTAAATTTTATTAAAGATAATAAAATTTAAAGCTGTTTTAAGATAAAAAATACTACATAATAGTTTCTGGAAAACAGTGGAGCTCCATGTTTCAGAGGATAAAGAGACATCAGGCTGTGAGACACACAGGACTTGATAGAGGATACATTCACTGCGGTTTGAGTCTGCCGGCTAGAAAAATGCATATTTTTCAAAGAGGATTCTTTAGAAACTGGGGCAGCACAGTGGTGCAGTGGTTAGCACTGTCTGAAGGTTGTTGGTTGCCCCGGCCTTTCTGTGTGGAGTTTGCATGTTCTCCCCATGTCTGCTTGGGTTGTCTCCGGGTGCTCTGGCTTCCTCCCACCGTCCAAAGACAATGCAGACTAGGTTAATTGGTAACTCTAAATTGTCCTTATGTGCGCATGTGAGTGTGAGTGGTTGTTTGTCTATATGTGGACCTGTGATTGACTGCACAGATGGACTGGCAACCTGTCCAGGGTGTACCCCGCCTTTCGCCCGATGTCAGCTGGGATTGGTTCCAGGATAGATGGATTCATTAGAAACTGTGTTTCAGTTCTAATACCTTCTCTGACTCTGTGTGAGACCTTATGCCTTTCGGTTCATCAAAAAGTGACATTTAATTTGCATTTTTCAAAGC